GTTTCGTTGGGGGGTTGTGGAGTTTTGCTGTCCCGTTGAACCAACCTAACAGATTTATATATATAGATTGGTTTTATCCGTATAGTATTGTGTGTTTATTTTATACATTGTTTTAGGCACATTGTGCCATATGTGAACCGCCACAAGTCCCTTTAGGGAGATGGCGGTGGGGTACAAAAATAAGATGATGATGATGATGAATAATAATATTGGAGCCCCTGATGGCGCAGTGGGTTAAATCGCTGAGCTCCTAAACTTGCTAACCGAAAGGTCACAGGTTCGAATTCGGGGAGTGGCGTGAGCTCCTGCTGTTAGCCCCAACTTCTGCCAATCTAGCAATTCAAAAACATGGAAATGTGCATCTATCAGTAGGTATTGCTCTGGCGTGAAGGTAATGGCGCCCCATGTAGTCATGCCAGCCACATGACCTTGGAGGTGTCTACGGACAATGCCGGCTCTTCAGCTTACAAATGGAGTTGAGCACCAACCCCCAGAGTTGGACACAACTGGACTTAATGTCAAGGGAAAATCTTTACCCTTCACCTATCAGGAAGCAGGAAGATACAATTTACAATATTATTATTATTATTCATTACTGTAAATTGTATATTCCTGCTTGGTAGAAGCGGATTGGGCTAGATGGTCCATGTGGTCTCTTCCAGCTCTATGATTCTATGTTGTATGTGCGTGTGGGCTCTGCGGCTGTCCTTTTGTACACAGTTGTCTTGCAATGTGTTACCGTTCTAGGTTCCCCTTCTGTTCTGATCTTGCTTTCTCTCCTTCGACTCAGGTGGGGAAAGAGAAGCTGCTGCGGGTGAAGGTGCTAACCGTCCATCCGCTGGAGCAGCCTATGGAAGAGGAAGCCGCGGCGGCAGCTGCCGCCGAGAAGAAGGCAGAAGGGGCCTGTGACTCCCCCTCCAGCGACAAGGAGAATTCGGGCCAGGCCTTGCAGGACCTCCAGAAGGAGCCGGCCCTCAAGGAGGAGGACAGCAGGAGGGAGAGCCTGAGTGAGTCGCACTAAAGGGGCTGCAAATGGCTGCTGAAAACTGCTGAAATCAATCCAAACATCTTGTTGGGCCTCTTTCTGGCAGACCTTTAGGGGGTCATGAATACTTTTTGAACCTTAATTTTTTTTCAGTGGGACAGTGTGCATCAGGCACACAAGTAGACACGCAGATTCCAGGACTGGTTTTATAAAAGCTATATTGGTTACACAGACAAAAAGGGGGAAACATCACATTAACTCCAATATTCACTCATAATCCATTCATTCACCATTCCACCAACCGTAAAGCATTCAGATGTTGGGCTCATTGAAGCCTGGAACTCATTCCCTTCCTTTCTGTGCCTCTCTTTCAGACGACCGGGCACGCCGATCCCCTCGGAAGCTCCCGACTTCGCTGAAGAAAGACGAGAGGAAGTGGGTCCCTCCCAAGTTACTGCCCCACAAATACGATGTTAAGCTGCAAAACGAAGACAAGGTGAGCAGGACGAGAAGTATCACGTATACATGCCAATTTTGATCCAGATCCATCATTGTTTGGGTCCATATTGTGCTCTGGATGTAAGTGAACTACAACTTCCTGTCGCCAGGAATTGCAGCATTATTCCATTATTATTATTATTATTATTATTATTATATCAATATACATTGCTTGATTGGACAGATTTTAAGACGCTATCGTGCTGTGGAGTTGGGAAGTGTACTTTCAAATGGGACACGTGCTTTTCTGTTATTGGAAAGTGTAAAATGGCTAATGTTGATTGGTGGCCTTGTATATAAATAATTGTCATAATTTGTACACTTTGGAAATATAATAATTATTAATAATAATGTATTTTAAAAACACTAAAGTGGTTCCTAAAAGCTGCGTCCTGTTGTGTTCCCCCAATCCCCCTCCCCCAGATCATCAGCAATGTCCCAGCCGAGAGCCTGGTGCGCACCGAGCGGCCACCCAACAAGGAGATCCTGCGCTACTTCATCCGCCACAACGCACTACGGGCCGGGATGGGTGAGAACGCCCCCTGGGTGGTGGAGGATGATCTGGTCAAGAAGTACAGCCTCCCCAGCAAGTTCAGCGACTTCTTGCTTGACCCCTATAAGGTGAGAGACGGGGCAACGGTTGGTTGGTCTGGGATGCTGGGAGTAGAAGGCCCAGGGCTTCGCTTTATTATTATTAGAAGGCTACATCACCACATTGACATTGAAGAAGTTTAAAATAATGGTTTAATCAGAGTTGGACAGTCTTATCTTAAACTACAGTGTTATGCAAATATTCAAAAACATTTCCCCTGTGGATGCCACAATTAATGTAATTTTGTTAGTATCATTTTTATTTTGAAATTATCCCATAGTTGCTGCATTTCCCAGCCTTGGCTTCTAATCAAATTAATATGTTTTCCCAGATTTTGTGGTAAAATTAGGGGCCTTGGCTTATGTTCGGATCATCTTATACTCGAGTATATGCTCTCAGGATCCCAAATGCAAATCTTGATTTAGGGCACAGGAAGGGATAGGTTCCACGAACCTTGCTTTTTTGAACAAAATTCGCATTTGGGATCCTGAGTGCCTGCTCTTGATGCAGACTGTTTTTTGAGCTGTTGGTCACTGTCTGCATGGCTTCTGCTCTTTGCATTTGCATCCAGTATTTGACGCTCAACCCTTCGACAAAGCGGAAGAGTGCCTCGTCGTCTGACCGGAAGCCCTCCAAGAAGCCCAAGCCGGGCGACGGCACTTCTCCAGGGCAAGGCCTGAGCCCTTCACTGTGGTGCAGCGTCTCCTTGAAGAAATCCGCGGGGACACCGCTGAAGCTCAAGAACGCCAAGGCCCCCAAGACCCCTGCTGAGGAGTTGGAGGAAGTGATGCGCCTGGTGTCAACCGGGAAGCTGGGCCCTGGGAGCGTGACTCGGAAGCGGCTGGGCAAGTCCCAGAAAGGCAAGCGACTCCTGAACGGGCAGAAAGCAGGCGGGAGGTCGCCCCGAAAGGATGCCTCCTCCTCCAAGACAAAGCTGAAGCAGATGACGTTGCTGGACATGGCCACCAAAGGCACGCCAGGCAAGGTCTCTTCCTCATCGCGGGGCATGAGGAGTTCGGGCTCGGCCAGCAAACCCTCCAAGCGCCTCCCACCAGCCGCCCTGCACCTCATCGCCTACTACAGGGAGAACAAGAACCGCGAGGACCGCAAGAGCGCCCTCTCCTGTATCATATCCAAGGCCGCCCGGCTGCTCTCCAGCGAGGATCGGGCCCGGCTCCCCGAGGAGGTTCGTTGCCTGGTGCAGAAGCGCTATGAACTCCTCGAGCACCGCAAGAACTGGGCCTCCATGAGCGAGGAGCAGCGCCAGGAGTTCCTGGCAGAGAAGCGGGAGAAGCTGAAGGAGAAACTGAAGGCCAAAGCTCGGGAGCGGCGAGAGCGGGAGACACGAGAGCGGCTGGAGAAGCAGCGGCGCTTTGAGGACCAGGGCCTCCCGGGGGCACCACTGCCAGCCTTCCGGCTGGTGGACACTCCTGAGGGCCTGCCCAACGCGCTCTTCGGGGACGTGGCCATGGTGACCGAGTTCCTCAGCTGCTACTCAGGGCTGCTGATGCCGGACGCCCAATACCCAATCACGGCTGCCTCGCTCATGGAGGCCCTCTGTGCCGAGAAGGGCGGCTTCCTCTACCTGAACCGCATCCTGGTTGTCCTCCTCCAAACGCTGCTCCAGGACGAGATTGCCGAGGACTATCTGGAGCTAGGGATGAAGCTTTCTGAGATCCCTCTCACCTTGCACTCTGCCTCGGAGCTGGTGCGCCTCTGCCTGCGTAAGTCGGACGCCCAGGAGGAAAGTGAGGCCTTTGAGAACCACAACAACGCCTCCAACGCCCCAGAGGAGGGCTCGGCCCCAGCCTTCGAGGATGACGAGGTGCGGGATGAGTTCCTGGAGAAGCTGGAGGCTGCCGAGTTCTTTGAGCTGAGCTGCGAGGAGAAGCTGCAGATCCTGGTGGCCCTCTCCCACCGCATCCTGATGACCTACTCGGTGCAGGACTACGTGGAGGCCAAGCAGCAGGCCTCGGCCGAGCTCTGGAAGGAGCGGCTGGCCGTGCTCAAGGAGGAGAATGACAAGAAGCGGGCTGCCAAGCAGAAGCGCAAGGAGATGGGTGCCACCTCCACTGCTGCCCAGGGCAAGGAAGAGGGCAGCGGCAGCCTGGGCAAGAAGAAGGTGGTGGCTGAGGAGGGCAAGGTGGCCAAAGCTGAGCCCAGGCCCACCGAGCCCGAGGACATGATCAGCACTGTCAAGAGCCGGCGGCTGCAAGCCATCCAGGCCAAGAAGGAGCGGGAGCAGCAGGAGATGCAGATGAAGGGTAAGCCCCACCATAGGTGGGAGAGGGATGGATAGATAGATAGGTAGATAGATAGATAGATAGGAGGAGCATATGGATGAATGAATAGGCAGACAGAGATGGATAGAGATAGGATGGAGAGACAAGTCTATTGATAGATGATAGGTAGGTAAATGATAGATTTTTTTGTCGTGTCAGGAGAGACTTGAGAAACTGCAAGTCGCTTCTGGTGTGAGAGAATTGGCCGTCTGCAAGGACGTTGCCCAGGGGACACCTGGATGATTTGATGAAATGATAGATGAGAGAGTGGGAGTGGGATGATATGGATAGTTAGAGAGATTGAGAGAGTGGGATGGAGAGTGGATGAATAGAAAGATGCAGAGGATATGGATGGATAGATAGAAAGAGAGAGATTAGAATAGATAGGATGGATAGACAAGTGTATGGCTAGATGGTAGGTAGGTCAATGATAGACGAGAGATGGGGTGAGGGAGGATATCAATTGAGAAGAGAGAGGATGGATAATAGATGAGAGAGTGGGATGAAAAGTGGATGGATAGATAGATGGGGGAGGATATGGGTGGACCGACAAATAGAGATAGATAAAAAGTGATAGAGATAGCAAATATAGACAAGTGTATGGATGGATGATAGGTAGTTAGGTCAGTGATAGATGAGAGGGAGCGAGGGAAAATATGAATGGATGCATAGAGAGATTGAGAGAGAGTGGCCTGAAGACTGGATGGATAGATAGATGGGGAGGATATGGATGAATGGACAGATAGAGATAGATAGATAGATAGATAGATAGATAGATAGATAGATAGATAGATAGAAATAGAGATAGCATATATAGACGTGTATGGATAGATGATAGGTAGGTAGGTCAACGATAGATGAGAGGGAGCGAGGGAAAATATGAATGGATGCATAGAGAGATTGAGAGAGAGTGGCCTGAAGAGTGAATGGATAGATAGATGGGGAGGATATGGATGGATGGACAGATAGAGATAGATAAAAAGAAATAGAGATAGCATATATATATATAGACAAGTGTATGGATAGATGATAGGTAGGTAGGTAAATGATAGATGAGAGAGGGAGCGAGGGAAAATATGAATGGATGGATAGAGAGGTTGAGGGAGAGAGGATGGATGATAGAGTGGGATAGAGAGTGGATGGGTAGATAGAGGGGGAGGATAGGGCTGGATGGACAGATAAAAAGAGTGAGATAGAAAGAGATAGAGAGCATTTATAGACAAGTGTATGGATAGATGATAGGTAGGTAGGTAAACGATAGATAAGAGGGAGCGAATGAAAATATGAATGGATGGATAGAGAGGTTGAGAGAGAGAGGATGGATGATAGAGTGGGATGGAGACTGGATTGGTAGGTAGATGGGGAGGATAAGGCTGGATGGACAGATAAAAAGAGCGAGATAGAAAGAGATAGAGAGCATTTTTAGACAAGTGTATGGATAGATGATAGATAAGTGAATGAGAGGGGGAGAGGGAAGATAGGGATGGATAGTGATTGAGAGAGCGAGAGGATGGATGATAAATGAGAGAAAGTGGGACGGAGAGTGGATGGGTAGACAGATGGGGAGGGATATGGATGGATAGACAGAAGGAAATATATTTATTTAGTATATTTATATATTATATAAATGTAGTATCACTAATAATATTACAGTATAATGTTATAGTACATAATAATATATAATATTAAAATTGTGCTTTGGTAATAATATTTTGTATTTATTTTTTACTTGTAAGCCCTTCGGGGTGGGAAGGGTGGCATATAAATGTCCTAAATGAGAGAGATAGAAAGAGATAGTGATTGAGAGAGAGAGGATGGATGATAGATGAGAGTGGGATGGAGAGTGGATGAATAGATAGATGGGGAGAATATGGATGGATGGAGAGAGAGATAGAAAGAGATGGGATGGATAGGCAAGTGTATGGATAAGTGATAGGTAGGTAGGTAAATGATAGATGAGAGAGAGGGAGAAGGAGGATATGGATGGATAGATTGAGAGAGAAATAAGAGAGAAGGCATGGATAGACGAGTATATGAATGATAGAAAAGTAGGTAGGGATAGAGAAAGAGAGAAGGGGATGGATAGAAATAGATGAGGGGGAGGGATTATATTGATGAGTGGATGGATGGAGAGACAAACAGAATAAAATATAGAAAAAGAAAGAAAAGGGGGATGGATAGATGAGTGTATGGATAGATGTTAGGTAGGGAGATCGATACATAGATAGAGGATGGATAGATAAGTGGGTGTATAGGTAGGTAGATATAGACATGTATTTGTTCAATTGTTAGACACTCTTTTTCCCCTATAAAAACAACTCTTTAGAATCTCAGGGCCCTTCCACACAGCCCCATATCCCACAATATCAAGGCAGAAAATCCCAGAATGTCTGCTTTGAACTGGGTTATCTGAGTCCACACTGTGATAATGTGGGATTTTCTGCCTTGATATTTTGGGATATAGGGCTGTGTGGAAGGGCCCTCAGAGGTGTCTGATGTATTGCGTTGCCGATTGGATGAGAAAGGTGGTATACAAATACAGTAAATAAATTAAATAAATAAATATTTTGGTTGATGGTGGCAGTGATGCTAGAATGTTGGAGAAGAGAACGTCCTTGTTTGGAGAGGCAGGTTTCCGAATGTGGGGGGTACTGACCGCTGTCTTCCTCTCCCCAAAGTGAAACTGGAGCGTGAGGCGGAAGAGGAGCGGGTCCGCAAACACAAGGCTGCGGCCGAGAAGGCCTTCCAGGATGGCATCGCCAAGGCCAGGCTGGTCATGCGAAGGACGCCCATTGGCACCGACCGTAACCACAACCGGTGAGCAGGGGAGAATGAAGTTTATCCATCTAGAGGAAGTGGAGGGGCAAGATACAGCCCGCCAAGGCTGTGACCCCCATTCCCTTTGGACCGCCACCACCTTATATGCCACCATGGAAGGAAGGATGGAAGAAGCCTCCTTCAATCCTCCTTCCAAGGAGAGAAGGAAGAAAGAAAAGGAAAGAGGGATGGAGGAAGACCGGGATAAAGGGAGGAAGATAGGAAGGGAGAGAGAAAAGAAAAGAAAGAGGAAGAAAGAAAGGTAATGAGGTAGGAGGACAGGGAGAAAAAGGAAGAAAGGGATTGAGAGAGAGAAAGATGAAAAGAAGAGGGAGGGATGGAAGGAAGGGAATGAGGAAGGGAGATGGGGTGGAAGAAAGAAGTATGGAAGAAGCAAGGAAGAGTGGAAGGAAATGAGGCAGTAAGACGGGAAGGGAAGGAGGAAGAGAAAGGTGCATAGGAGAGAGAGGAAGAAAGAAATGTAATGAGAGAGGAGGAGAGGGGAGAGAATGAAAGGGATAGAAAGAATGGGAGAGGAAGGAAGGGAATGAGTGAGCAAGGGGAGGGAGGGAAGGAAGAACGGAATGAGGGAGGGAGACGGAGGGAAAAAGAAAGATGGAAGGAAGGAAAATAGGAAGGGAGGGAGAGAGAAAGGAAGAAATGATGGATAGTAGAGAGGAAGAAAGAAAGGTAATTAGTGAGGAGAACATGGAAAGGAAGGATAGAAGGAGGGGGAGAGGAAGGAGGGAAGGGAATGGGTGAGAAAGGGAAAGAAAAGGGAAGGAAGGAGAGAGGAAGACAGGGAGGGAAAAAAGGATAGAAGGGAGGACAGAAATGAGGGAGGAAGACAGAGGGAGAAAGAGAAAGGAAGGAATGATGTATAGAAGGAGAGAGAGGAAGAAAGAAAGGCAATGAGGGAGGAGGACAGGGAGAGAAGGGAAAGAGGGAAAGAAAAGGGAAGGAATGAAGGATATGAGGAAGATGGGGAGAAAGGAAAGGATGGATGGAGTAAGGGAGGGAAGGATGAGAGGAGGGAGGGTGAAAGGGAATGACATGGAGGGGGAAGGGTGACTTTAGCCAAATCACACACTCTCGGCCTCAGATGAATACAAAGGTATATCCCCCAACAGTCCGAGGGACCCCTGATCTCGGATTTGATCCTTATTGACCTTCTGCAATTGACCCCTCTCTTACCTTTGACCTTTGCTCTCTCTCTCTCTCCCTCTCTAGGTATTGGCTGTTCTCTGACGAGGCTCCCGGCCTCTTCATTGAGAAAGGTTGGGTGCATGATGGGATTGACTATTGCTTTACGCCTCCTAAGGAGGAAGAAGAAGAAGACGATGAAGAGGAGGAGGAGGAAGAAGAAGAGGAAGACTACCAGCAAGGTATTAAGGATTAAGATGTGGTCATTCAGTGACATGCATTTAAACTGTGTGATAGAATAATCATTGTATTATTAGTCATTATTTGTTGTTATCGTAATCATTAGACTCATACAGTTGCTATAAAGGAATATAGAATTACTACATTATTATTATTATTATTATTATTATTATTATTATTATTATTAATTTGCATAGAGTTAGAAGGGAATTCAAAGGACATCCAGCCCAACCCCTTCTGCTAAGCAGGAATACATAATTAGTATTATTATCTTATTATTATTATTATTATTATTATTATTATTTGCATAGAGTTGGGAGGGAACTCAAAGGACATCCAGTCCAACCCCTTCTGCCAAGCAGGAATACATAATTAGTACTATTATCTATTATTATTATTATTATTATTATTATTATTATTATTATTGGGCTGTCTTTCCTCCCAGGTTCCCGACGGGAGGCATTGACGAATGTCCCACATGGCATCCTGCTGGTCCCAGAGATCCCTGTGGAGACCACGGTGCCCAAACAGGGGCAAAACCTCTGGTAAGCCCTCCCCATGACCTTTGTCCTCCAGCAAACAATTCCAGTCTCTGTGTGAGCTGGTTTCTTTTATCTATGTGTCGAAATGAAATCATGGGGAGTAAATGGAATATCAAAACTGCTTTGAAGGTGGGGGGATTGACCTGCCTGCCTTGGGTTGGGCTTTGTGTGGCCTGCCTGCCTGCCTGCCTGCCTGCCTGCCTGCCTTCCTTCCTTCCTTCCTTCCTTCCTTCCTTCCTTCCTTCCTTCCTTCCTTCCTTCCTTCCTTCTTTCAGACTGTGTTTTCCTTTTGCAGGTTCCTGTGCGATAGCCAAAAGGAGCTGGACGAACTTCTGTGCCGCTTGCACCCGCAGGGCATCCGGGAGAGCCAGTTGCAGGAGCGGCTGCAGAAGCGGTAAGCCCTATTCTTGTCCTTAATAATAATAATAATAATATCATCCTAGAGTTGGAAGGGACGCCAAAGGGCCATCCAATTCATCCCCTGCCCTCTTATTGTTCATATTCATAATAATAATAGTAATAATACAGTGCATGTATTATTATAATATATTATAATACTATAATAATATGTTATATCATAATAATGCACGCATTATTCGCCAATATATGACACAGTCCTAGACACTTGGGAAGTGTCCGATGTGTGATCCAATAGAACAGCCAGCGGAGTGATTTTGTGTTGTGTTTCAAATAATAATGATGATAATAATAGAATCATAGAGTTGGAGGAGACCCCAAAGGCCATCCAGTCCAACACCTGCCATTCATATTCATAACAACAACAGCAGCAACAACCATAATAATAGAATTCTATTGTGGGAGGAGGCCTCAAGCGCCATCCAGTCCAAACCCTGCCATTTTATGTTCTTAATAATAATAATAATAATAATAATAATAATAATAGAATCCTAGAGTTGGAAGAGACTCCCAAGGACTGTCCAGTCCATCCCTTTGCCCGGTAGTTCATATTCATAACAACAACAACAGAAGGGAGGAGACCTCAAGGGCCATCCAGTCCAAACCCTGCACTCTTATTTTTCATAATAATCATAATCATAGAGTGGAGGAGACCCCCAAGGCCATCCAGTCCAACCCCTACCCTAATCATCACCGTCATTATTGTAGAGTTGGAGGAACCTCAAAAGGCCATCCATTTGAACCCAACCACAATCAAGCCGTAGGTAGGTAGGTAGGTAGGTAGGTAGGTAGATAGATAGATAGATAGATAGATAGAAGGTCAAGGTTTCCCCTTGACATTAAGTCTAGTCAAGACCAACTCTGGGGCTTGGTGCTCATCTGTTGCTAAGCTAAAGAGCTTGTCCATAGACGCCGCCAAGGTCATGTAGCCAGCATGACTACACGGAGCACTGTTACCTTCCCGTCAGAGCAGTTCCTATTGATCTACTCACGCTTGCTAGGTTGGCAGTAGCTGGGGCTAACAGCGGGAGCTCACCCCGTTCTATGGATTCAAACCACTGACATTCGGGTCAGCAAGCTCAGCAGCTCCATAGTTTAACCTGCTGTGCCACCACAGCAACAACAACAACAATATAATATAGATAAAGAGAAAGATGTATATGTCATAGAATCCTAGAATAGGAAGAGATCCCAAGGGCTATCCAATCCAGCCTCCTTTCACCATTGAGCACTCCCATCATTCAAGCCCTCCTGACAGATGGCCATGCACACTATTGGAAAGTTAGATTTGTATGGATGCATAGATAACGGTACAATCCTAGAGGTGTGAGGAATCCCCAAGGGCCATCCAGTCCAACCCCCTCCTGGGCTTGGTGGGGATTCTGGCCCTCCATCCTGGCCCTTGTGACTTCTCTCTCTCTCCCTCCATTCCAGATACTCAGACATTGTGCACTCCATCCACTTGGCCCGGAAGCAGAATCTGGGCCTCAAGGCGTGCGACGGCCACCAAGAGCTGCTGAACTTCCTGCGCAGCGACCTCATCGAAGTGGCCACCCGGCTGCAGAAGGGGGGCCTGGGCTACGTGGGAGAGGGGGAGTTCGAGGACAGGGTGAGTGGCCACCCCTCTGCCAGCAGCAGCAGGAGGGGGGTTCATCATTATGAGAAGGGAGGGACAGAATTGGATTTAGGTTAACCTGGTCTTCTGCCTGCCATTAGATTAGCGCCATCTCTGATGGTATTCCGCAAAAAAGTAAAGACCTGGTTATTTGCGCAGGCGTTTGAATAATTAGTGCAATGATTGGTGACGACATAGGAATGGAACAATGGATGACGAATCTGGATCTTGTTTTTAGTGATGAGACGCTAGTGAATGGTTATTATAGCACTTGTGTATGAACTGTATATTAGATTAGGTCGTTAACTGTTTTATATTGATGTATTGAAATTCTGCTGTTTTTTGTGTGTTGTGAACCGCGGTGAGTCGCCTCCGGGCTGAGAACTGCGGTATAGAAGCAAAGTAAATAAATAAATAAATGACTGGCTTTGGAATAACTATGAGAATAATGAGGAGGAGGAGATAGGTAGGTAGGTAGGTCGATCAGTTGGGACAGTCGATCAATCGATCAATAGATAGAAATTTAGATGGATAGAAGGATGGATGCATGGATGGATACACAGACGTATGGAGGGATAGATAGATACATAGATAGATAGACGGATGGATGGATAGATAGACAGACAGATGGAGGAATGGAGGGATAGATGGATGGATGGATGGATGGATGGATGGATGGATGGATAGAGGAATAGATGGGCGAATTGATGGATAAGTGGATGGATGGATAGATAGGTAGATGGAGGGACAGATAGACAAATGGATGAATGGATAGACAGATGAATGGATGAATCACTGAAGTGATAAGGGATGGATGAGTGAAGGGCTAGATAGATGAATGGATGGTCAGATGGACAGATAGATAGACAAATGGATAGATGGACGGACGGACAGATAGAGGAATGGAGGGATAGATAGTCGTGTGGATGGATAGAGAGGGGGGAATAGATTGGCGAATTTATGGGTAGATGGATGGATAGACAGACGAATGGATGAATCAATGGAGTGATGGATGGATGGATGGAGGGCTAGATAGATGAATGGGTGGTCAGACAGACAGATAGATAGGTAGATGGACAGATAGATAGAGGGATGGAGGGATAGATAGAGGGATGGAGGGCGGGGTGGATGGATAGATGGATAGATTTCTCCTGCCATGGCTGGTTTTGGAATAGTGATTAGGAGGAAGAAGGGAGGGAGGGAAGGAAGGACAGTCGGAAGGAAAGGAAAGGAAAGGAAGGTAGGTAGGTAGGTAGTCCTTGGGGTATTGTAGCTATCCCCCTGCTATGACTGGTTTTGGAAAACTGATGATAAGGCAGGAAGGAAGATTGATGAATTTGGGCACTTGGGGTGGCTAGTTTTGGGATAACGAGGAGGAGAAATAACGATAATAACATCACTATGTAACAAAATTTGGCAACAAAAAAATCTTTTCCTAGCTTTAAAGTGTTATTTCCTGTTTGATTATGCAGACCTTCCTGTGAAAGTAATTGTAATGCTCCAGAAACTTCTTTTTTGTAGCTTTGAATTGGCTGAGACAGCAGGATGATTTCCCTCCCTCAGGAACACAAAGTTTTTGCGGTTTAATACACTTTTACGTTTTTTAAAAATGATAGAACCAATTAGAAAATGACAAAAAAGTGAAATATAAGGAAGTGGGACAGAATTGAACTTGGGGCACTCTGCCCTGCCTGGTTTTGGAGTAGCGATGGTGATGATCATGCTAATTAATCAATCCTCCTTTTCGTGGGTGTGTTTCTGGGAGCAGGTGAGCTCGCTGGAGAGCCTGCGGGACTTTGGGGAGTGCGTGGTGGCCCTCCAGGCCAGCGTCATCAAGAAGTTCCTGCAGGGCTTCATGGCCCCCAAGCAGAAGCGGAGGAAGCCCGCGGGGGAGGACGCCCTGGCCACAGCTGCAGCCGCTTCCGCCGTCAAGACCGAGGAGGTGGACGAGGAGAAGCGCATGGCTGAGGAAGCCAAGGTGGGGCCCCTTTCAGGCATTACGGGTGTGTGTATGTGGGGGGAGGAGTATCTGAACCCCTTTAAATCATAAGGAGAAAGGGGAAGATAGATAGATAGGATAGATAGATAATTGCAGCCATAGACATATGTGCGTGCAGGAAGTCCCCAAGTTACGAACAAGATCAATTCTGTGTGTGTGTGTGTGTGTGTGTGTACTAGCTTGGGAACCCGGTGATGCCCGGGTTATTTGAAAAGGGCATTGTTGGTCTATGCTCCAAGTTTAATTGAGATCCAAAGTCAGCTGGGTTCAGTGGATATGGGTGAACTACAACTCCCATATTCCAAACTCAAACTCCACCGGTATGCACGGTTGGCCAAATAAAACCAAGTTTGGTTCAGATCCATCATTGCTGGGTTTCAGAATGCTCTCTGGATGTAGGGTGAACTACCACTCCCACATGGGTGGGTTAGTTCCCCAAACCTCTCCATTATGTTCTATTGATCAACAGGGTTATGAGTGCAAAGCTTGATGCAGGTCCGTCTTTGGTGGGGTTCACAATGCTCTCTGGATGAAGGGTGAACTATAACTCCCACATGGGTGGGTCAGTCCCCCCCAAAACCCTTCCACTATGTTCTATTGCTCATGGGGGGGTCTGTGTGCCAAGTTTGGTCCAGTTCCATCATTCGTGGGGGTCACAGTGGTCTCAGGAAGTGTGTGAAGGTACTGCAAATTCCATCATCCTTCGCCCATCCTCCCCCAAACCGCACTAGGATGTAAAGTGGTTCATTGGGGGGAGGGTCTGTGTGCCAAGTTTGGTCCAGGTCTGTCATTGGTGGGGGTCTCAGTGGTCTCAAGAAGTGAGTGGAGGTACTGCAAATCCATCATTTGTGGCAAGTGTGGTCCAGGTCCATCATTGGTTGGGTTCACTGTGCTCTGTGGATGTAGGTGAACTCCAACTCCTATGTTCAGAAGATTAGCCACCTTGGGCCCCAATTGGAAAAAGAATAATAATACTGATAGTGTTGAGAATCAGAGCTCTTGCCCTTCCTTGGAGCAGCCAAACCCAGAGCAAAGTGTTCTGAGAATTCAGGAACGAAAACGGGGGCCGGGAAGGCGTACATTTTTCCAGCTCCTGCTCCAAGGAGTCCTTGGCGGCGGGGAATTCCAGGCCAGGGTTTGTTTGCTCAGGGAAGGGAATGTGCAACGCGGCAGAATTGGGTTTGGCTTGGCGCTCCTTGCAAAGTTTGGGCAGCAGCCCTCGTCCATTCCTTAGCGGTGGTGTTTTCATTGCACCGTCCCGTCGCTCATGTGATGCTTGTTATTCCCCCCAAGAGAGCTGCCAGGTCCAAAACCTGGGCCCTGCCTTCTTTGGAGCAGACACCAGAGGGCAGCCTGGGCCCTTGGTTCCTTTGCAGAGCATCTTATTTACCTCTACACCGAATCCTAGAGTTGGAAGGGACTCCAAAGGTCATCCAGTCCAGCCCCCTTCTGCCATAAAAGAATATAGAATTACTATTATTATCGATTATTATTACAATTATTATTAGAACTTTGTAACTGGTCCTGCCCATTGTGTTCAATTATTGTGATTTTATATTACATTGCATGTTTACTTTCTTTTATATTTATTTTTTATTTTTGGTGATATTATTTTCATCATATTTTATTGATGTATTTTTATTTCTGTTTTTCTGTAATTGTTGGGCCTAGCCTCATGTAAGCCGCCCCGAGTCCCCTTGGGGACATGGTGGCAGAGTATAAATATATTATTATTATTATTATTATTATCCTCACTGCTATATGGCCCACCCAGCCCCTGCTAAAGATATCATAGAATTATAGAATCAAAGGGTTGGAAGGAACCCCCCAAGGGCCATCCAGATGGCCATCTGTCAGGAGGGATTGGGTGGTGCCTTTCTTTGTGGTAGAAGGGGGTTGGACTGGGTGGCCCTGGGGGTCCCTTCAATCTATGAGTCTAATGAATCTGCCCTGAGTCCCCTTGGGGAGATAGGGTGGAATACAAATAAATTATACAATACTGCATATAATAATAATATAAATAAATAACCGGTAATAATATAATAGCTATTCTGTCTTCCTTTCTAGCAGAAGAGGGTTGGACTGGATGGCCCTTGGGGTCCCTTCCAACTCTAGGAGTCTAATAATAAAAATAATTAACTGATAATAATATAATAGTGATTCTATTTTTCTGCCTGGCAGAAGAGGTTAGACTGGATGGCTCTGAGGTCCCTTCCAGCGGTATCATTCTATAATTCTATGGCATCTTTTGCAGGGGCTAGATGGCCATCTCTTGGATGGGATTTAATGGTGTCTTTATGACAGAAGGGAGTTGGACTGGATGACCTTTGGGGTCCTTTCCAACCCATATGAGTCTGTGATATGGATTTTTAGCAGGGGCTGGATGGCCATCTCTCGGGAGGGATTTAATGATGTTTTTATGACAGAAGGGGGTTGGACTGGATGACCTTTGGGGTCATTTCCAACCCTTACGAGTCTGTGATATGGATCTTTAGCAGGGGCTGGGTGGCCATCAGGTGAGATTCAGTGGTGTCTTTATGACAGAAGAGGGTTGGACTGGATGGCCTTTGGGGTCCCTTCCAACCCTATGAGTCTATTATACGGATTTTTAGAAGGGGCTGGATGGTCATCTATTGGGAGGGGGTTACTGGTGACTTCCTTTGTGGCAGAAGGGGGTTGGACTGGGTGACCCCTGGGGTCCCTCCTGATTCCTTAGATCTCTGACCCAGTCCCATCCTTCCTTCTTTCTCCCTCAGGTGGCGTCGGCGGTGGAGAAGTGGAAGGGGGCCATCCGTGAGGCGCAGACCTTCTCCCGGATGCACGTCTTGCTGGGGATGCTGGACGCCTGCATCAAGTGGGACATGTCGGCCGAGAACGCCCGCTGCAAGGTCTGCCGCAAGAAAGGTGGGCCACGTACTCTGAGATCATTCTGGGACATGGGCAAGTGGAGGTGGGGTGGGGGAGGGAGAGACCCTATTTACTTGAATGTAATGCTCCCCTTTTTGGGATAAATGGCCAGAATGAGGGTGAGACTTAGAGCCGCATCATATGGTCTCTCCTCCCAAGTCTAATAATAATAATAATTAAGTAATTTTATCTTTTTTTGACTGAAGGAGTTTGGACTGGATGGCCCTTTGGGGTCCCTCCCAACTCTAGGATGATGATGATAAATAATAATTATTATTATTATCATTCGAAAATACATCACACAATCCAAGACGCTTGGGAAGTGTTCGACTTGTGTTTTTTTTATACTAAATCCAGCATATAGATCTTATTTGCTGTGACATACTGTGCTTTTGTGTCATAAAATAATAATAATAGATGATGATAATAATAATAAATAATAATTCTTTCTTCCTGTTTTACAGAAGAGGGTAGGACTAGATGGACCTTGGGGTCCCTTCCAACTCTAGGATGATTTATATAATACAACAACAATAATAATAATAATATAGTAATTCTATAATTGACTGGTGAGGGTTTGACTGGATGGCCCTTTGGAGTCCCTTCCAACTCTAGGATACTACTAGTAATAATAATAATAATAATAGATAATAAATGATAATCATAAATAATAATAATAATTCTTTCTTCTTACTTGACAGTAGGGGGTTGGACTGGATGACCCTTGGGTCTTATTTATTTATTTATTTACGACATTTATATGCTGCCCTTCTCACCCCGAAGGGGACTCAGAGCGGCTTACAAGTAAAAAGTAAATACAATAATAATAATACTATAATAATAGGCCCCCTGGTGGTGCAGTAGGTTAAACTGCTGAGCTGCTGAACTTAACAATAGTAATTGATGATAGTAATATAGTGATTCTATCTTTTTGTTTGTACAAGAGAGGTTTGGATTGGATGGCCCTTGGGGTCCCTTCCAATTCTAGGATAATAATAATGATACAGTCATTCTCCCTGCTTGGCCAAGGGGGGCTGGAGTGGATGGTCCTTGGGGTCACTTCACCTTTCATGGGTTATAATGCCTCTCTTCCCTCCTCCAGGCGAAGATGACAAACTCATCCTGTGCGACGAGTGCAACAAGGCCTTCCACCTTTTCTGCCTGAGGCCTGCCCTCTACGAGATCCCAGAAGGGGAGTGGCAGTGCCCAGCCTGCCAGCCCTCTGTCGCTCGGCGCAGCTCCCGCGGCAGGTGAGCAAGGCCACGCACAGAGGGGACGATGGAGTCTGCAGTGGACAGGAAGGGAGCAGGATTCCTTTCCTCCACCTTGGAGACTGAGGAACAATGGGACCATGGGTTCAAATGACAGGGAAGGAGATTCCACCTGTAGATGAGGAAGAGCTTCCTGACCATAAGGAGAGCTGTTCAGCAGTGGAACTCTCTGCCTCAGAGTCTGGGGGAGGCTTTTAAGCAGAGGTTGCCTGACCATCTGTCAGGGGCGTTTTGATTGTCTGTTTTTTGTCTGGCATACAAAGGACTAGATGGCCTTTGGATGTCTTTTCCAACTCTCGCAGACTAATAATATTGATAATGCTATTGATAGTAATAATAATAATACAGTAATTATATAATTTTCTTGACTGAAGGGGGTTGGACTGGGTGGCTCTTGGAGTCTCTTCCAGCATTAGGATGATGATGATGATTATTATTATAAGGTAATTAATAATCGGGAAGTGTTCGACTTGTGATTTTTTTTATATGAAATCCAGCATATAGGTCTTGTTTGCTGTGACGTACTGTGCTTTTGTGTCAGTAAAATAATAATAATAATAATAATAATAATAATAATAATAATAATGGGAAGATAGAGTGTCCACATCAAGGGACTCATCTTATTGTGTTTCTAATAATAATAATAATACAATAACAACAATATGAGGATTTAAAGATCGAACTGCAAAGCCAGTCAAGGTGGTCCCAGTGGTTATTGGCATACTGGGTGCAGTCCCTAAAGACCTTGGCCTGCACTTAAAAATTATTAGTGCTGACAAGGTTACCATCAGTCAGCTCCAAATGGCCACCTTACTGGGATATCTGCACACGTTATTTGCCAATACATCACACAGTCCTAGATACTTGGGAAGTGTCTGATGTATGATGCGATACAACAGCCAGCAGAGCGACCTTGTTTGCTGTGTACTCATCTTGTTGTGTATCAAACAACAACAATAATAGTTGATGATGATGAGTACATCTTAGAATGAAAGAAATACAGTATTGATCTATCAAGAGAGGCTGACTGGTGTCCCTGACCTTGCAGGAACTACGCCGAAGATTCTGTGGAAGAGGAGAGTGAGGCTGGCGAGGAGGAAGAGGAGGAAGACGAGGAAGAAGAAGAGGAGGAGGAGGAGGAAGAGGAGGACTATGAAGTTGCTGGCTTGAAACGTAAGTTATCTAGCTCAGAGTAGACATCTTGCCTCTCCATGCTCACAGAAGAATAGAGGGCTGGCCATGTGTGTTGTCTCTGAGAAGGGTCACTCTAATAAGGAAGGGGATAGGAGGAGAGAACAGTGACAGGCAGACGTAGAGGCCTATGGGGAAGGGCTTTTCCCTGCCTATCTGAAGTTCGTGGTGAGGACTAGAAGCTTGTGCAGGATGCGATTGAGTCCTGACGCCTCACTGGACAGGGTCTGCCCTCGGCCCTCCTGTCGACGCGTGCCGTAAATGCTCTAATGGCGACGGAGCATCTTTCTGGCTCTCGGGTGTCGCAGCTGTTTTCTGCCTGCGTTTGAAGTTTGCTCGGGCTCCGTCCTGCCTCTATAAATACATCCAGAGAGAGAGAGACCCCGTTGTTTTTGGCTCGACCGGAGGGTTTGATGTGGGGAATGCGGGGAGCGCCAGGCATCCCTTGTGTTCGTGGCCGCAAAAGATATCAACGGTGGCGCCCCGCTTGAGCGCAAGCCTCTCCATGAAGCGGGTGGCAACTGGGGGCCGCCGTTTGGCTCAAAGCCCCTCTTGTGCCGGAGCCATTGTCCGATTCTCCTTTTGCCAGCTGGCGGGAGACACCCGACACCCACCCGGCGCAGAGTTTTGAAGGGTTCGAACAGCTGCTTGGGGGCCTCGAGGCCTTTGGGGAACCTTTAATGAGGAATTCTGTGTCGTATGCTCTCATCTCATCAACAGGGAGACTTTCTGCCTCAGACTATGTTGGAAGTTTTGAAACAAGCCAGATGGCCATCTGTCGGGGGGGCTTTGATGGCGCTTTTCCTACATAATGGCAGAAGGGGGTTGGACTTTCTATCTATTAGACCTGTTCAATGCATGGTTCTAAATGATTCTAAAGTACTTACAAAACTAAAGTTCTGGTGGTGAAAATTTCAGAACTCTAACAAAACTCTCAAAATTTCATTATAAATGGCAGTTCCTAATCGGTTCTGTCATAAAAATTGTCAATAATGAAATAATAATTACATTTTGAAAGAGTTCTGAAATTTTCACCACCAGAACTTTAGTTTTGTAAGTACTTTAAAACCATTTAGAACCATGCATTGAACAGGCTTACTATCTATTTCTTCTCTATAATCCTGTCTAACCCCCTCCATTTATGATTGTATGTCCGTATCTATAGCTGTGTATATCTTCTATATAAATAAAAATGTAATGTTCGTTTGTGGGATCAACATAACTCAAAAACTACTGGGCAAATTGACACCAAATTTGGACACGATACACGTATCAGGCCAACGAGTGACCATCACTCATAAAAACACTGAAAAACACAGCTAAAGAGACTTAAAAAGCCAAAAAACAAAAAATACATTACAAAACATGTGCAAAACCACAAATATACACAAATATAAACACACATATACGCATATATACACACAAAAACACACAGACTGGGACACAGCAATGCGTGGCAGGGCATGGCTAGTGTGTATATATGATGATCTTATCAATCAGATGTAGCTCATCAATCTCTGTGGCTCATGGCAGGGTACGACAGCCATCTATCCGTTGTCTGTGTCTGTCTGTCTATCGATCTATATTTATTTATTTATTTACTGCCTGTCCTCTGCCACGTGTTGCTGTGACCCAGACTGTGCAGATGTGCTTTGTGTGTGTATATGTGTATATACGTGTGTTTGCGTATATATATGTAGTTTTGTGTTTGCACTGTAATGTTGTTTTTATTTTTTTGCTTTTTAAGTCCCTTCTGCTGTGTTTATATGAGTGATGGTCACTCGTTGGTCTGTTAGTGGTGCAGTGTCCAAATTTGGTGTAAATTCGTCCAGTGATTTTTGAGTTACGTTAATCCCACAAATGAACATTACATTTTTATTTATATAGATTTATTTACTGCATTTATGTACTGTCCCTCTCAGCCTGCAGGTGACTCGGGACGGTTTACAGTTGGTACCAAGACCATAAAATACAAATTCAATATAATAAAAACAATTGAATAATAAAACCATAACAGAATAAATAAAAACATGTATCATTAGGGTTTCCTCATTAAAAACATTGTCCAGTCACATCATCAAACCGTTCAATTTTCCTATGTCTGTTACACTGTATTTGCAAATGCCTGCTCAAAAAGCGAAAATTTAGCTCTCTTCCAAAATGTTAAAAGGGAGGGGGGTGATATGATGTCCTTAGGGAGGGCGTTCCATAGCTGAGGGGCCACCACTGAGAAGGCCCTGTCTCTCGTCCCAGCCAGCCGTGCTTGTGACGAAGGTGGGTCCGAGAGCAGGGCCTCCCCAGACGATCTTAAAGTCCTGGAAGGTTCATAATTGTGTCCAACCCCCTCTATGTATGATTGTGTGTGTATCTATCTATCTATCTATCTATCTATCTATCTATCTATCTATCTATCTATCTATCTATAAATAATTCTGTCCAATCCCCTCTATGTATGATTGTAACTCTGTCTGTCTATCTATCTATCAATTAATTATTCTGTCCACCCACTCTGTGTATGAATGTGTGTGTCCATATCTATGTATCTTATCATTATGGAGATGAGCATCACCCCCCAGCGTTGGACATGACTAGACTTAATATCAAGGAGAAACCTTTACCTTTAAGGTGCCATCTACTCTTCTGTGATTCTATCTTGCCTTTGGGGGCTCCTGCCTTGACCGGTCTCTCCTCCCCCCCTTTTCTGCCCCACAGTGCGGCCCCGCAGAGCAGCCAAGGGCAAGCAGGGGGGCCCGGCTGCCGACCCCCCCAGGCGAGGGCGCCACCAAGGCAGGAAGCGGGCATCCAATGCCCCACGGGCCTCGCGACAACAACAGCAAGCAGCTGCCTCCATCATTGACACGGACATCGATGAGCTGGTAAGCGGGGATGGAAGAACCTCCCCCTTAGAATAGAATCACTTTATTGCAGGGTTGCTGTGAGTTTTCTGGGCTGTCTGGCCATGTTCCAGAAGTATTCTCTCCTGATGTTTCTCCTGCATCTATGGCAGGGACCTTCAGAGGTTGCGAGATCTGTTGGAAACTAGGCAAGTGAGATTTATATACTTGTGGATGTTGCTCAGGGGACGCCTGGATGTTTTGATGTTTTATCATCCTTGTGGGAGGCTTATCTCATGTCCCCGTGTGGGGAGCTGGAGCTGACAGAGGGAGCTCATCCACGCTCTCCCTGGATTTGAACCTGCAACTTTTTGGTCTTCAGTCCTGCCAGCACAGGGGTTTAACCCACTGCGCCACCGGGGCCTGAATGATAGATGGTAGAGAAATAGAGAGAAAGAGAGAAGTGTATTGGTGAATGGAGGGATGGATGGAGAAGTGGATCAGTAAATAGGTGATAGAGGAAGACAGAGAAAAATGGATGGTAGAATCATAGAGTTAGAAGAGACCACATGGGCTATCTAGTCCAACCCCCGCCATGCCGCATATGGAAAGGCCAACAACTCTTGTCCATCCCAGGGATGCGCAGGACCTTTAAATAGCCAGGGAGGGCTGGGAGTGCGGACGTTGCCCATTGCCCTTGGCCTTTGGGAGAAGAAAGGGAGCGACCGCCTTTGAAGCTTGCCTCCCCTCCCACTGAAGGGCCTGAAACCGAAGCTGGCTGTGTCCCCCCCCCCCCCCCCCCCCCAACTTCCCCTTTGATGCAAGCACTGCCTCTTTGAGAAGTGTGGGGCAGGGCTTTGTTCGAATGGCGCCTGCCTTAGAGACCCAGCAGGAGGCCTGGCAAAGCCCAAGGGTGGCACCCAAGCACTAGAACGACTACTTTCAAAGTCAGGACTGCACAATGAAACAGGAAAGAACACCTTCAAACCAGTAACAGAACATTTTTTTCACATTTTGTCACATACTGTAAATGGATTTCGGAAAAAATTAGCTTGTTGTGGAAACGAAGGATTGGAGATAAAACTTCCTTTTCTTCCTGATAATAACTCTTTCCCTTCTTAGGAGTAGATTTCACTCATTTCCTGTTGTTTCAGCCCCTTCACTCTGAGTTGTTTACAAGTTGGATGTTTGTCACTTGGGGACGGCCTGTATATATATAAAATCATAATATAATACTAATAATATATAATAGAAGAGAGAAGGGGATGAATTGACAACAAATTTGGACACAAGACACCTAACAACTCAATGTATGTCCTTCACTCAAAAATTGCTTTTGTCATTTGGGAGTTGTAGTTGCTGGGATTTATAGTTCACCTACAATCCAAGATCATTCTGAACCCCACCAACGATGGAATTGAACCAAACTTGGCACACAGTTCTCCCATGACCAACAGAAAACACTAGAAGGGTTTCGTGAGCATTGACCTTCAGTTTTGGAGTTGTAGTTCACCTACGTCCAGAGAGCACTGTGGACTCAAACAATGATGGATCTGGACCAAACTCTACACGAATACTCAATATGCCCAAATGTGAACACTGGTGGAGTTTGGGGAAAATAGAATCTTGACATTTGGGAGTTGTAGTTGCTGGGGTTTGTAGTTCACCTACAATCACAGAGCATTCTGAACCCCACCAATGAGAGAATTGGGCCAAACCTCCCACACGGAACCCCCATGACCACCAGAGTGGACCACAGCAATGCATGGCAGGAGACGGCTAGTCATAATATAATAGTAATATATCATAGAAGAGAAAGGGGGCCAGAAGACAGTTCCACCTTGTCTCCTATACTATGCTAATAATATAATGTATTATTATTATTATTATTATTATTATTATTATTATTATTATTTACAGTATTTATATATTGCCTTTCTCACCCCTGGGAGGACTCAAAGTGGTTTACACATAAATAATGGCAAGATTCAATGCCTTACGATGGGCACCAATACGATGCCAATACAAACAATAATAAAACCACAATTAAGCATAAATCAAAACAAATCATCAACAAGCATTAAAACAGTAACACAGTCTCGTCAGTCAAATTGCCGTTCCAGTCAATGTCCCTCTAAAATATTTATAACATTATGTAATGCAATATAATACTTATAATATGATATTATAATTATATATTTATATTACATGTAATATTACTAATAAAATTAAAATATAATGGTATAGTACACTATAGTAATATATAATACTTTTTTTGTCATGTCAGGAGCGACTTGAGAAACTGCAAGTAGCTTCTGGTGTGAAAGAATTGGCCGTCTGCAAGGACGTTCCCCTTCAGGGTGAGAAGGGCGGCATATAAATGTCGTAACTAAATAAATAATAAATCAATAATGATGCCAGTAGGAGCCCTCAGTGACGCAGCGGGTTAAACCACTGAGCTGCTGAACTTGCTGACTGAAAGGTTGGTGATTTGAATCTGTGGAGTGAGTTGAGCTCCTGCTGTTAGCCTCAGCTTCTTGCTGACCTAGCAGTTGATCAGTAGGTACCACTTTTGCAGGAAGGTCATTGTGCCCCATGCAGTCATGCTGGCCACATGATCTTGGAGTTGTCTATGGACAATGGCGGCTCTTCGGTTTAGAAATGGAGATGAGCACCAGAGTCGGACACAACTAAGCTTAATGACACCTTTACCTTTACTTATTATTCAGTCCAACCCCCTTCTGCTAAGCAGGAAGATAGAATTAGTATATTATTATTATTGATGTTATTATAATATAATTATTATTTAATAATATTATAATATTAAATATTATTTTCTGGATGTGTTTTCTCATGTTGTCTCTCATAGTTGAGATCTACATATGATGTCAATTACAGGCCTCTCTCGTCTTTTTAAGTGGGAGAATGTGTAAAATTGGTATCTGACTGCATATATATATAAAATAATAATACTAATGATATATAAGATTCCTCTCACTTCCTGTTATCTCAGCCCCGTTCTTAACTAGGAGTCGTTTGCAAATTGGATGTTTGTCACTTTGGAATGGCCTGTATATATATATAAATAATAATATAATTATACCAATAATCACTTCCTGTTGTCTCAGCCCCATTCTTAACTAGGAGTCATAATAATAATAATAATAATAATAATAATAATAATAATAATAACAACTTTATTTATACCCCACTGCCATCTCCCCTAGGGGGCTCGGGGCAAGCTGGATGTTTGCTGTGTTAAGAGATTCAGTGACTGTATTTGGGAGTAGAGTTTATGGTTTTCATGCTGCCAGCAAGAGTCACCAAAGGGCTTCTCCTTGACTCTCCTTTTCCCCTTTGCAGGTACTTCAGACCAAGAAGGTTTCCCGACGCCAGAGCCTGGAGCTGCAGAAGTGCGAGGAGATCCTCAACAAGCTGATCAAGTACCGCTTCAGCTGGCCCTTCAGGTGAGCCTCGGGCCCCACACCCATGGCAGCATCTGGGCCCATAACCTAGAGGAGTGTAGTGTAGCCAGTGCAATATATATATATATATGCATATGGTAGGAAACAGGAGAGGAAATACACAGGAAGATGCTCCAGTCAGGTTTTGAAGGGGTGGAAACTTTTATGGTTGCCAGTGAGATACAGATAGATCAGGCGATAGACCAAGGAAAGTCACCTCACTTTAATAGAAGAGTCTGTGAGTCAGGCTGACTCACAGATGCAACTAAAAAATGGGATTTTGGCCTGCATCAATAGGAGTCTAGTGTCTAGATCCAGGGAAGTCATGCTCCCCATGCTCTATTCTGCCTTGGTTAGACCACACTTGGAATACTGTGTCCAATTCAGGGCACCACAGTTGAAGAGAGATATTGAAAAGCTGGAATGTGTCCAGAAGAGGGCGACTAAACTGATCAAGGGTCTGGAGAACAAACTCTATGAGGAGCGGCCTAAAAAGCTGGGCATGCTTAGCCTGCAGAAGAAAAGACTGAGAGGAGACATGATAGCCATGTATAAATATGTCACAGCAAGGAGGGAGCAAGTTTGTTTTCCGCTGCCCTGGAGACTAGAACGTGGAGCAATGGCTTCAAACTACAGGAAAGGAGATTCCACCTGAACATTAGGAAGAGCTTCCTGACTGTGAGAGCTGTTCAGCAGTGGAACTCTGCCCCAGAGTGTGGTGGAGGCTCCTTCTTTGGAGGCTTTGAAACAGAGGCTGGATGGCAATCTGTTGGGGGTGCTTTGAATGAAATTTTCCTGTGTCTTGGCAGAATGGGGTTGGACTGAATGGCCCATGAGGTCTCTTCCAACTATATATTTGTGTATATATTTGTATATGTGTATATACGTGTGTTTGCATATAGATAGATAGATAGATAGATAGATAGATAGATAGATAGATAGATAGATAGATAGATAGATGTGTGCATGTGTATATGTATATGAGTGTATGTGTATATGCATATATAGTTTATTTGGGGGGGGGTTAAGTCTGTTCTGTTGGGTTTTTTGTGTGTTTTAGGGGTGATAGAGACTCTTAGGCCTGATAGGTGTCTTGTGTCCAAATTTGATGTCAATTCGTCCAGTTTATGAGTTATGTTAATCTCACAAACGAACATTACATTTTTATTTATATATCGATGTATCTGTCTGTCTATATATGCAAACACACATATATACACATATATATACACACACACACACACACAACATATGCAGACTGGGCCACAGCAACGCGTGGCAGAGGATGGCTAGTAAATAATCAATAATCAATAATCATCCTGAGTCAGAGAGAGGTTTCATGGCACTCCCTCAAAGGGTCATAAAGATCCATTAGGTTCCCTCTGTTTTTAAGGATTCTGTAGTAAGTGCTGAGGCATCTTTCCTTACTCCAGAGAGAGGCTTCATGATACTCCCTCCTCAAACAAAGGGCCGTAACGGGTTCCCTCTGACCCGAAGGGGATCAATATGGCTCTGATGCCTCTCCCTCTCTCTTGCAGGGAGCCGGTGACCACAGAAGAAGCGGAGGACTACTTTGAGGTTATTGCTAGCCCCATGGACTTCCAGACCATGCAGAGCAAGTGCTCCTGTGGCAGCTACACGTCAGTGGGGGACTTCCTGGCCGACCTCAAGCGGGTCTTCTCCAACGCTGAGGCCTACAACCGCAACGGCAGCCCCATCCTGGCCTGCCTGGAGAAGACGGAGCAGTGCCTGGCCGACATGCTGCGCAAGCACCTCCCGGGGCACTCCTACTCCCGGCGGAGGCGCAAGGCCGGCCCCAACGGACTCCCGGGCGCCGGGGAGGAGCAAGCCCACGCCGTTGACAGCGACCCCGAGGCTGGGGAGCACTTGCGCGGGAGGAAGAGGAAGAAATGAGGAGCAGGCGGGAGCCACACCAAGGAAGGCCCTGCTCCAAAGTGCTTGGCCCCGGGGAAGACGCCAAGCGGTTCCGTATTTATACGCTGGGCAAGCACTTAACCCTGCCAGGGCCATCACCAGCATCTCTACGTATGTTTTGGAGGGGCCTCCCCTCCCTTCTCTTTTATCAGGAAGCCCCCTTCTTTATTCCACTCTTCTCTCCCCCTTTTTTCCCTTCTTTTCGCCGCCATTCGTATACAGAACAAAAAAAATAACACCCTTTTAAGATAAAAAACCATCGTCTCGTACGTACTGTACAGTTTCTAATGGGGAAAACGTGTTGGCTTTCTAAGAACTGTCTCTTAGACACACCCCATGTTTCTTGGTCAACCCGTCGCTCCCTTTTTGTAGTCTCTGGACACACACAAGCGCGCACTCTGTGCATCTTTCGGGCCCGTTTTAGTCCCCCTGCTTTTCTCAAGACGGATGTTTCTTCTAATGGGCAACTTCGACGACACAATAGGACTTATTCTTTTTTAAAATGGGTTGTTTTTGTGGGGGGAGGGAGGGAGGCGGGTTCTGCTAAGGGCTGTACTTGTAATAAATCAGAAATACCAAAAAAAGAGAGATACATATACATACATTATATGAATTTGTTTTACTTTCGGTCAAGGGTCAGCATTGAGATGTATGACATATATAGGTTCTTGTAAATTTTTCGGGCTGTGTGGTCATGTTCCAGAAGCATTCTCTCCTGACGTTTCACCTGCATCTATGGCAGGCATCCTGAGAAGTTGTGAAAATTGGGTTTTCATGTCTTTTAAGTAGAAGGACACCATCCAATCCCTCCCCACAGGTGGCCACCCAGCCAAAGATAGATGGTAGTAAATAATTATATATACACACATATATATACACACACAGTAGAGTCTCACTTACCCAACATAAATGGGCTGGCAGAATATTGGATAAGCAAAAATCTTGGGCATTAAGGAGAGGTTAAAACGCCAGTTAAACGTCAAATTACGTTATGATTTTTAAAAGTAAGCACCAAAATATCATGTTTTACAACAAATCGACAGAAAAAGCAGTACAATACATGGTAACATTATGTAGTAATTGCTGTATTTACAAATTTAGCAGCCAAACTTTGCAATGTATTGAAACAGTTGTGGATCCGGGCGGGAGGCAGTCTGCGTTGGATAATACAGAACGTTGGATGAGCGAAGGTCGGATAAGCGAGGCTCTACTGTATACACATATATACATACATTAACTAGCTTGGGCTCCTGGCATTGCCCGGGTTATTTGAAAAAGTCAATATTGTTATTGTACCAAATGCATAAGGTTGTGGGTGAACTACAACTCCCATCATGCCAGGTTAACCCCCTGAAACTCCATCAGTACTTGGGCAAGTTTGCTCTAGATGCATCATGGGTGGGGCTCAGTGTGCTCTCTGGTTACAGGGTAAACTACAACTCCAACTGTGGTGAGTCAATCTGTCAAGAGGGATCGGGTGGTGCCTTCATCTACAAGAAGGAGGGTTGGACTGGATGGCCTTTAGGAGTCCCGTCCAACTCTGAGTAGTAATTATAATAAGCAAAAATATAATAGTAATTCTATCTTCCTACCTGGCAGAGAGGGGGTTGGACTGGAATTACCTTTAGGGTTCTCTTCTAACTCAATAATAATAATAATAATAATAATAATAGATAATCCATTTTGGCAAAAAGGGGGTTGGACTGGATGACCTTTATGGGTCCCTTCTAAATCAATAATAAAAATAGATATTAGATAATAATACGGTAATTGTATCTTCCTTCCTGGCACAAAGGGGCCCCTTCTAACTCAATAATAATAATAGATAATAATATAATAGTAATTCTCGTTTCTTGTCTGATACAAAGCAGGTTGGACTGGATGGCCTTTAGGGGTCCCTTCTAAATAAATAATAATAATAGATACTAGATAATAATATTATAGTAATTCTATCTTTCTGTCTGGCAAAAAAAGGTTGGATTGGATGGCCTTTGGAGTTCCCTTCTACACAATAATAATAGATAATATAATAGTATTTCTCTCTTCCTCTCTGGCACAAAAGGGTTGGACTGGATGGCCTTGGGGTCCCTTCTGACTCAATAATAATAATAATAATAATGGATAATAATAGTATTTCTCTCTTCCTCTCTGGCACAAAAGGGTTGGACTGGATGGCCTTGGGGTCCCTTCTGACTCAATAATAATAATAATAATAATGGATAATAATAGTAATTCTATCTTCCTGCCTGGCACAAAGGGGGTTGGACTGGATGGCCTTTAGAGGTCCTCTCCAGCTGGGGATTCTAGGAACGCTCCTTGTTAGTGGTCTATATTTAGGTCCCTCTGGCGAACCCTGCGCCAAGTGGCACATGGCCTTTGGGCCGTGCATTGCATTGCATTCCAGGCGGTTTTTCCACTGAGGAGGGCTTTGTGCGAGGCAGGAATCCGGGGGCAGGAAGAGAGAGAGAGAGAGAGAAAGGGCCTTTGTGGCCTTGTCCCCCTCCCTCCAAGCCCAAGAACCTGGAAAAGCCTTCCCAACATGCAGGAAAGGGGCTGCAGCTCCCATCACCCCCAGGATTCTGGGAATTGTAGTCCCAGTGGAGCCACATTCCTGCATGCGCTTGACCTTAAGTGGCCTCTTCCTATCAGATGAGGCCTACAAGGCTCAGACCCCTCCTATATTTATAAGTGTACTTATTTGGAGACCTATTAGATACCCATAAGTATACTTATTTGGAGACTTATTCTTAACACATAAGTGTACTTATTCAATACTCAGGTATACTTATTAGATACTCATAAGTGTACTTATTTGGAGACTTATTAGATACCCAGAAGTGTACTTACTTGGAGACTTCTTAGATACTCGTAAGTGTACTTATTTGGAGACTTATTAGATACTTATTAACTAATAACTAGATATTCATAAGTGTACTTATTTGGAGACTTCTTAGATACTCATAAGTATACTTACTTAAAGACTTCTTAGGTAAGTCTAATAGTGTACTTATTTGGAGACTTAGATACTGATAAGTATACTTATTTGGAGACTTACTAGATACTTATTTGGAAACATTCCTTATAATTATACTTTTTTAGAGATGAATAACCATATCTTATACTTATTTGAAGACTTATTAGATTCTTATATGTATACGTATTTGGAGATGTATTGGGTATTATTATTATTATTATTATTATTATTATTAATAGACTCATTGATTTTGAAGGGACCCCTAAAGACCCTCCAGTCATATTTGATTTGCCAATAGGGGCCTCGTTTACCTTTAAAGCCCCCCCTCCCCAAAAAATTGGGCTTTCCATTCTTTTTTTTCTTTTTTGGCGCCAGAGGCCACCTTTTTCCTGCCCTATTTATTTACTTATTTCGGTTGGAAAGGTAATAAAAACTCCCCGGCAGGAAATGGATCTAGTGCCACAGAAGGCTCTTGCTGGGAAAGGCGAACAAGGAGCCACTTTGTGTGCTGACGAAGGAGGAAGGGGGGAACGAAAGAGGAGGTAAAGGAGGAGGAGGCCTGCCAACGTTCCCATTGAGGCGCCCATTGGCATTTGAGGTTCTGGTGAGGCCTTTCTAAGGACAACCATTTCCATCCAAGGCTAGCCATGCTATAGAATCAAAAAGAGTTCGACGGGGCACCCAAAGGGCATCCAGTCTGACCTCATGTATGTTTGTATCTATCGTGGAATCCTAGAGTTGGGATCCCAACTGGCTATCTGTCTGTCCATCCATCCATCATGAAATCCTAGAATGGGAAAGAACCCAAGGGCAATATCAATCCATCCATCCACCCACCCACCATGAAATCCTAAAATGGGAAGGAACCCCAAGGGCACTATCTGTCAGTCTGTCTGTCCATCCATCCATCATGGACTGTATCTATCTAGGAATCCTAGAGTTAGAAGAGACCCCAAGGGCAGTCACTATCAGTCAATCAATCTGTATCTCTGATCTATCTAGGATTCCTAGAGTTGAATGGGTAACCAAAGGGCATCCAGTCCAACCCCATGTATCTTATCTGTCTATCATGGAATCCTAAGAGTTCGGACCCCAACTGGCCATCTAACCATCCATCCATCATGAAATCCAAGAATGGGAAAGATCCCCAAGTACAATCTATCTATCTATCTATCTATCTATCTATCTATCTATCTATCAAGAATCCTAGAGTTGGAAGAGGCCCCAAGGGCAGTCTCTCTACCTCTCTCTCTCTCTCTCTCTCTCTCTCTCTCTATCTATCTATCTATCTATCTATCCATGTCTATCAGTCTACCTATCTAGGAATCCTAGAGTTGGATGGGACACCCAAAGGGCATTCAATCTGACTTCATGCATGTTTGTATCTATCGTGGAATCCTAGAGTTGGGATCCCAACCCTGGCCCTCTGTCTCCCCATCCATCCACCATAAAATCCTAGAATGGGAAGGAACCCCAAGGGCAATCTCTCTCTCTGAATCATAGAGTTGGATGGGGCACCCAAAGRGCATCTAGGCTGACCTCAAGTATGTATGTTTGTATCTCTCTATCGTAGAGTTGAATCCCATCTACCCARCCAYCATGAAATCCTGGAATGGGAAGGAACCTCAAAGGCAATATCTAGCTAGCTAGCTAGCTAGCTAGCTATCCCTCTCCCCCAYCCCTCCYYCCTCYYTCTTKCTTTCTTGCTTTCTTTCTTGGAATYTTAGAGTTGGAAGAGACCCCAAAAGGAGTCTATCTCTATCTGTGCCTTAACTGTCTATCTTGAAATCCTAGAGTTGGACAGGGCACCCAAAGGGCATYCAGACCAACCCCATCTATCAATCATAGAATCTCTATCAGAATCCTGTGGTTGGAAGGGACCTCAAGGGYCCTTTCTTTCTTTCTTTCTTTCTTTCTTTCTTTCTTTCTTTGTTTGTTTGTTTGTTTGTTTSTTTSTTTSTTTCTGAAACCCTAGAGTTGGAAGGGCCATCCAATCCAACCCTCTTGTCTATCTCTGCAAATATCAATATCTATCTTTCAGAACCTTGGAGTTGGAAAGGATCCCAAGGGCAAACGCTCTCTCCATCCATCCATTGATCATAAAATCTGAAAATTTGGAAGGGATCCCAAGGGCAATATCTATGTATTTATCGTCTATCCACCCATCCTGGAATCCAAGAGTTGGAAGGGACCTCCAAAGGCCATGTAGTCCAGCCCAAATCCCTGCCCTTTCCCGACCTCTTCCCTGTCCAAACCAGGAGGCCCCATTGCCGCCTCCTTGTTTTGCATGGTCCCGCCATGGAGAAGGGAAGAGCAGCGCTTGGCACACGGAAGGCCCCTTTGGCCGCACAGCCAACTCTTGACAAAAAGCCCTCCTTTCAGCTCCAAGTTTGGGTTGGAAAGAGGCAGCGGGAGCAGTGCCCACCCATCCGGCTCCTGCAGAAGGAGGCCCTTGTGCTCCTTGTGTTTTTCTTTCCTGGGTTGGAGGAGAGTGGCAGGAAGAAGGGGGGAAAAGAGGGGGCGCCTGGCCATCCCCATCAGAGGGAGTAGGAAAGAAAGAAAGGCAGACAGAATCATAGCATCCTAAACTCAAAAGGGCCCCATAGAGGCCATCTAGCCTGGCACCAATCTGACAAAAGTTTGTTATGTTGGGCAAGTTTGCTCTAGATGCATCATGGGTGGGGTTCAGTGTGCCCTCTGGCTGCAGGGTAAACTACAATTCCCACTATTGTGAGCCAATCCCTTCAAAACCAATAGGTTGAGCGAGTCGTGGTTCTGTGTGCCAAGTTGGGTCCAGGTCCATCATTAGTAGATGTCACAGATTTACTGGTTGTGGATGAACTACAACTCCTAAAACAAAAGGTCCATTCCCCCCAAACCCCTCCAGTAATCAAATTTCGGCTTATCAGATCTGTGTGCCAAGTTTGATCCAGATCCATCAGTGTTTGGGTTCACAGTGCTCCCTAAGTGTAGGTGAACTACAACTCCCCCAAATCAAAGGGAATTTTCCCCAAAGAAAACCAGTCTTTTTTGCTGGTCACGGGGGCTCTGAGTGCCAAGTTTGGTCCAATTCCCTCTTTGGTGTTTGGAGTGCTCAATAATTGCAGGTGAACTATACATCCCAGAACCTACAACTCCTATAATCATGGTGAATTCTCCCCAAACCTCTCGAGTATGTTCAGTTGCCGATCAATTCCTCTGTTTTCTGTGTGCCATAGAAAAGAATAGGAAAGGGTTAAGGGAGCAGCACTGGGTGGGATCATGCAAATTCCACACCAATGGAGACAGTAAAAAACACTGGGATGCCTGTGGTGGAGGAAACACATAAAATCTAGGATGGAATTGTACCATATGACTTGGGTGGTAGGCAGTGTGGTGTTGGTGGAGGGCTCTTGGACATGTTTATGGCAAGCTCGCTATAACCTGCAGTGTCATTGGAGGCGTGGCCATTGATGTCCTTGGGTGTAGGTGAACTACAACTCTTAAGCCTTTCCTATTCTTTTTTATGGCACACAGCAAACAGAGGAATTGCTCAGCAACTGAACATACTAGAGAGTTTTAGGGAGAATTCACCATGATTTATAGGAGTTGTGGGGACTGAGATGTATAGTTCACCTGCAATCTAAGAGTACTCTGAACTCCATCAACGATGGACCTGGAACTAACTTAGCACACAGAACCCCCATGACCAACAAAACATACTTGAGGTCATGAGAGGGATTCAGAAAAATTGTAGTTCACTATATCTAGAGCGCACTATATGACCCCAAACAATGATGGATCTGGACCAAACTTGGCATGCATCCCCGAAATGCCCAAATTGGAATACTGGTGGGTTTTGAGGGATATTGGCCTGGACATTTTGGAGTTGGAGGTACTGGAATTTGTAGTTCACCTGCAATCAATGAGCACTCAGAACTCCACCAAAGAGGGAATTGGACCAAACTTGGCACACAGAGCCCCCAGGACCAGCAAAGAATACTGGAAGTCTTTGGGGGGGAAATCACCATGATTTGGGGGAGTTGTAGTTCACCTACACCCAAGGAGCACTTGTGAACCCAAACACTGATGGATCTGGACTAAACTTGGCACACAGACCTGATAGGCTGAAATTTGATTACTGGAGGGGTTTGGGAGTTGTATTATTGTTGAGTTTGTAAGGACCCCAGGAGTCATCCAGTCCATTCCCCTCCTGCCATAAGGGAAGATATCATTATATTACTACTACTACTTGAAACAACAAGGTGAATACACATCAAACAAGGTCACTTTGCTGGCTGTTGTATTGGATCACACATCGAATGCTTTCCAAGTGGTTTGTTGTAGGTTTTTTCGGGCTATATGTCCATGTTCTAGAAGCATTATCTCCTGACGTTTCGCCTGCATCTATGGCAGGTATCCTCAGAGGTTGCGAGGTCTTTCCAGGTGTCTAGGACTGTGTGATGTATTGGCGAATAATGCGTGCAGATCCAAGCAGGGTGGCCTTCTGCAGCTGGCAGATGGTAATTTTGTCAGCACCGATTGTGTTTAAGTGCAGGCCAAGGTCTTTAGGCACTGCACCCAGTGTACCGATCACCACTGGGACCACGTTGACTGGCTTGTGCCTGAGTCTTTGCAGTTCAATCTTTAAATCCTCATATCGTGTCAACTTTTCCAGTTGTTTCTCTTCAATCCTGCTGTCACCTGGGTTTGCAACATCAATGATCCATACTTGGTTTTTTAACACAGTTGTGATGTCATTATTATTATTATTATTATTATTATTATTTTGTTGAGTTTGTAGGGATCCCAAGGGTCATCCAGTTCACCCCCTCCTGCCATAAGGGCAGATGTTGTTGTTATTGTTATTGTTATTATTATTATTATTATTATTATTATTAAATACTGCTGAGTTTGTAGGGACCCCAAGGATCACCCAGTCCATCCCCTCCTCCATAAAGGAAGATATTATTATTATTATTATTATTATTATATTGTTGCGTTTGTAGGGACCCCAAAGGTCATGGAGTCCACCCTCTCCTGCCATAACTAAAGATATAATTATTATATTTCATTGTTGAGTTTGTAAGGACCCCCTGGGTCATCCAGTCCACCCCCCTCCTGTCATAAGGGAAGATAAAAAATAGTTGTTGAGTTTGTAAGGACCCCAAGGATCATCCAGTCCAGCCCTCCTGCCATAAGGGAAGAATTATTATTATTATTATTATTATTATTATTATTGAGTTTGTAGGGAGTTTGTAGGGATCCCAAGGGTCACCCAGTACATCCCCATTCTGCCATGCAAAAAGACTGAATTATCGTATTATCATTGTTATTATTATGATTGAGTTGGCATCTATTACTGTTACTGAGTGGGCAGGGACCCCAAAGGCCGTCCAGTCCAGTCCAGCCCCCTCCTGCCATCAAGGAAGGCCCCGCGCAAGCCCTCCTGGCAGATGGCCACCCCTTCCTTTGGCGCTGTTTCCTCGCCGAGCCCGTTTCCCTTGGTGCTCCCTGGGCCAAGAGCAACACGGGGGCCCCTTCAAGCCGCAAGAAGCTCAAAGGCCGTGCGTTGAATAGGCCCCAAGCTCTGGGCCTCCCTCCCTCCCTCCTTCCCTAGGTTGACTCACCGAAATGGGAAAACAGGGGAGGCTTTGTGGGAAGGAAGGCGTTGCATTGAATGAAGTTGAGAGCCCAGCAGTGGGCGTGCCTTCCCAGAACTCCTTTTTTGCATTGATTGGAGATTGTTGATTTCCCTTTGTGGGCGGGGATTGGGGCTTGCAGAGCCCTGATTGGAGGCGCGCTCCCTTTGGCTTTGGATTGAGAGCTGGGCAGGGGGCGTGTTTTCACATTCCTATCTCCTTTGGTGGGGCAGTGCATGGAGACTTGCAGCGCCGTGATTGGGGCAGAGTGGGCAGTGGGCGTGCCATCACATTCCTTCTCTTCCTCCTTTGTGGGCGAGGCTGAAGGCTGGAGAGCAGGGGGCGGGGTTTGAACCTTGCAGCGCTGTGATTGGGGTTGGACTAAGCAGTGGGCGTGCCTTCAGTCTGTTTACTCCGCCTTTGTGGGTGGGGGCTTGTTGAGCCCTGACTGAATGCGCGCTTCCCCCTCCCCTTGGCTCCCCCTTTGTGTGTGTGGGGGGGTCTAAATGTTGCAGGGCTGTGATTGGGTCAGACTGATCAGTAGGCGTGCCTTCATGTTCTGTTTACTCCGCCTTTGCTTGAGATTGTTGATCGCTGATTGGAGGCTGGTCCCCCCATGGGCGGGGCAAAGGCGAGGGGGCTGGCTGACCCTGTAAAGAGAGCTCAGTCTCAGCTGGAGATGCCATGGCGAGTGGGTGGTTCTTCCTCTTCTCCCTCCTGGCCTCTCTCCTGAGTGGGACTTGGTGCTGGTCTGGGCCAGGCTTCCATGTTGCCTCGCCTCCTCCTCGCTGCGAGCCCATCTCCATCCCAATGTGCTTGGGCATTGGCTACAACCTGACGCGGATGCCCAACCTGCTGGGTCACACAGGCCAGGCCGAGGCGTCGTTGGCGCTGCAGGCCTTTGCCCCGCTGGTCTCGTACGGCTGCCATGCCCGACTGCGCTTCTTCCTCTGCTCGCTCTTCGCGCCCATGTGCACCGAGCAGGTCCCCCGCGCCATCCCGGCCTGCCGGCCCATGTGCGAGGCGGCACAGCGTCGCTGTGGGCCGGTTCTGGCCCACTTCCGCTTTGAGTGGCCACCCGCCTTGGACTGTGCCCGTCTTCCCACGCGGCATGACCCCCACGCACTCTGCATGGAGGACCCCGACGCTCAGGACGAGGAGGAAGGGGACGGACTCCACACGGATACGGAGGACCGTCCACAGCACTCCCCGCAACGCCGCGGATATGGCATGCTCCCTGTCGCACCTCCGCCACCACCTGCTGTTCCGTCATCTGGACCCGTGTGCGCTTCCGCCAAGCTGCTCTTCGTGCGCGGGCTGGGCGCCTGCCTCCCTCGCTGCACTCCGAGCGTGGACGTGTTTTGGTCACGTCACGACAAAGCGCTGGCTTCCTCCTGGGCGTGCGCTTGGGCCGCACTCTGCTTCGCCTCCACCGCCTTCGCATTGCTCACGTTTCTACTCGAGCCACGTCGCTTCCGCTACCCGGAGCGGCCCATCGCGTTCCTCTGCGTCTGCTACAATGCTCACGCGGCAGGATTCCTTTTGCGTGGCTTAGCTGGGAGCGAGCGCCTCTCCTGCGGGGAAGACGCCGACAGCGGGGCTCGCTTCCTGCTCCCAACAGGGACGGCTCTCGCACACGCGCCATGCGCTTTAGCCTTCTTGTTGACCTCCTTCCCGGGAATGGCGTCATCGTGTTGGTGGGCCGTGTTAGCCTTGGCGTGGTTCCTTGCGGCGGGGAAGAAGTGGGGCCACGAAGCCATCGGTGCGCTGAGTCGCTACTTCCACCTTGCCGCCTGGGGCCTACCCGCAATCCAGTCTGCCGCCGCATTGGCCTTAGGCGCTGTCTCTGCTGATGAGCTCACCGGCCTCTGCGCTGTCTCCGCTTCCAGCGAAAGCGCCCTCTCGTTGGTTTTAGTGCTGGCTCCCCTTGCGGCCTGCCTCTTCGCCGGGACTTCCTTCCTCCTGGCAGGCTTCACCGCCCTCTTCCGCATCCGCCGCACTCTCAAGACCGAAGGATCCGACACACAAAAGCTGGAGAGGCTCATGCTCCGACTAGGCCTTTTCTCCCTCCTCTATGCACTCCCTGCTTCAGCAGTTCTAGGCTGCCTGCTCTATGAGAGCGCACATGCGCAGCGCTGGGCCGAGCTGGCCTGGGCCCGCGCTTGCGCAGAAACAGAAGGGGAGGAGCCCGACTGCCGCTTGCCGGCATCCATCCCCGCTGCTCCCGTCTTCCTCCTCAAGATCTGCATGTCCTTCGCCGTCGGGATCTCTTCCGGCGCCTGGGTCTGGAGCCCCAAAACGCTGCAGGCCTGGCAAGGCCTCTGCCGGAAGAAGGCCCGGGGCCCACCCCGGAAGGAAGCCCAGGAGAACTCGCACTTCCGCCGGAAGGCCTTCCCCAAACCGGAAGCAGGGCCCTAGAGACAGGTACCAACTTTGTTTCTGAGGGAGAGACGTCGTACTATAATTGGGCCGTAAAGACCGGCACCAACTCTTCAGGGAGAGACATTGTGCTATCCTTGGGCCCTTCAAGTGTTTTGGACTCCCAATTCCTAGCAGAGTCAGGCCTCTTCTTTTTCCCCCTCAGCCTACGCACTTCCTCCAGAAGGCCCTCCAAACCAGAGGCCGGGCTGTAGATAAAGGTACCACGTGTTTTGGACTCCAACTCCCACAATTCCTAACAGCATGTCCTCAGTGTTAACAGACCTCAGTCTGTGATAGGCTTCGATATAAGAAGGCCTCAGTGGGAGAAAGGCCTCAGAGTGAGATAGGCCAGGTGTAAGAAGAGATAGACCAGGCATGGGCAAAGTTCGGACCGCCAGGTGTTTTGGACTCCCAATTCCCACAATTCCTAGCAGCATCAGACCTCTTTTCCCCCCTCAGACGGTTGTCTACATACTTCCGCCGGAAAGCCCTCCAAATAGAAGCCGAGCTGTAGAGGAAGGTACCTAGTGTTTTCGACTCCAACTCCCACAATTCCTAACAACATGTCTTCAGTGTTAGCAGATGTCAGTCTGTGATAGGCTTCAGTATAAGAAGGCCTCAGTGTTAATTCGCATCAGTGTGAGAGAGGCTTCACTATGAAGTAGGCCTCAGTGGGAGAAAGACCTCAGAGTGAAGTAGGTGAGGTGCGAGAAGAAGTAGACCAGGTATGGGCAAAGTTCGGCCCTCCAGGTATTTTGTACTCCAACTCCCACAATTCCTAGCAGCCTCAGTTGCTTTCCTTTTCCTCCTCAGCCACTTGCCTACGCACTTCCACCAGAAGGCCTTCCAAACCGGAAGCCGGGCTGTAGAGACAGGTACTCACTTTGTTTCTGCATGAGAGGCCTCTCCAGGCGTTTTGGACTCCAACTCCCACAATTCCCTCAAACCCCTTCCTCACGCACTTCCGCCAGAAGGCCCTCCCCAAACTGGGAGCCGGGCCTTAGAGACAGGTTCCCAGAGGGAGAGATATTGTGCTGTACTTGGGCCTTCTCTCCAGGTGTTTTGGACTCCAACTCCCACAATTCCTAACAGCATGTCCTCAGTGTTAGCAGACCTTAGTCTGTGATAGGCTTTGGTATAAGAAGGCGTCAGTGTTAGTTTGCATCAGTGTGAGAGAGGCTTCAGTATAAGGTAGGCCTCAGTGGGAGAAAAGCCTCAGATAGGCCAGGTGTGAGAAGAGATAGACCAGGTATGGGAAAATTTTGGCCCTCTAGGTATTTTGTACTCCAACTCCCACAATTCCTAGCAGCCTCTGTCCCTTTCCTTTTCCCTCTCAGGCGCTTGCCTATGCACTTCCACCAGAAGGCCCTCCAAACTGGAAACCGGGCTGTAGAGATAGGTACCAACTCTGTTTCTGCAGGAGAAACATCATGCTATACTTGGGCCCTCCAAGTGTTTTGGACTTCAATTCCCGCAGACCCCTTCCTCATGTATTTCTGCCGGAAGGCCTTACCCAAACTGGAAGTCGGGTATTAGAGACAGGTACCAACACTTTCTGCAGGAGAGACATCATGCTATACTTGGGCCTTCTTCCAGGTATTTTGGACTTCAACTCCCACGATTCCTAGCAGCCTCAGGCCTCTTCCTTACACACTTCCGCTGGAATTCCCTCCCCAAACTGGAAGCCGGGCCGTAGAGACAAGCACCAATGCTTTTTTTCTTCAGGAGAGACATCGTGCTACACTTTGGCCCTCCCTCCAGGTATTTTGAACTACAACTCCTACAATTCCTCATTCCTTTTCCCCCTCGTCCACTTATGCACAACAGCTATCTGATGAAATGAACAAATATTAATCAAGTCATAGAAATCTAGAGTTGGAGGGGACCCCCAAAGTCCATCTAGTCCAACCCCCTTCTTCCAGGCAGAAGGGCACCAAAGAAACTCTCTTGATAGATGGCCAACCAGCCTCTGAACTAATTAATATGGTTCCCCTATTGAGTTGGAAGGGACCCCAAAGGTCCATCTAGCTTAAGCGGCTGAGGCGAAAAGGAAAGGGCCTGAGGCTGCTAGGAATTGTGGGAGTTGGAGTCCAAAATACCGGGAGGGCCCGAGTTTACCCCTACCTGGAGGCTGATCTTCAGGAAATAATTTCAGGATCAAGGGCTCCCATCTCAAAGAGATTCCAATGGAGACCCAAGAGAGACATTTAAAGGGACAGTAGCAACAATAGATGTATGTATGTATGTATGTTTAATTTATGGCCTGGCTCTCAGAGACTCCAAGGAGACACTATCTAGAGACTCCAAAGGAAGACCAATGGAACTACAAGGACACCAAAGAGACACGAAAAGGGATACCTACCCACCCAAGAGACACTCAGTTACATGGGTTTGCTATGCAAAGGGGGCTTCTTTTTGGGGAAGAGTGGGGAGGAAAATGTTTGCACAATTTGGAATGAGGTAGGAGACCCCCCTTTTTTCCCCTGTCTCCGCACTCGTTTTATTTAATGCTGTAATTTATTATTTTGGGGCGGGGGGAGATTCTAAAGGGCATTGGTTTGGGCTTGTGTTTCTTCTCGAATAAAAAGAGCCCCTTTGTGACACTTTGGAGCCACGGCTGTGTTTTGAAAGAATGTGCGGAGGGGGAGGAGGAGGGGAAGGGGCTCTCTTTCTTCCAAACAGCTGCCCTGCTTTCCGGGCTTCAGGCCAAGGGGGAAAGCGGGAGGGAGGCTCGGCAGCTCAAAAAGCCAAGGCAATTTATTCTAGGCTGATTTATCCTTATGAGATTGGGACAAGGACTTCCCTCAGTCTGGACACTCTTATCTTTCTATTATTTATTTATTCATTTGTTATGAGATTGGGATGAGGACATCCCGCGATCTCGACACTATCTTCCTATTACTATTATTATCATTATTATTATTATTATTATTATTATGAGATATTTATTTATTGTTGGATTAGATTGGGATGACGACTTCCCTTGATCTGGAGACTCCATCTTCCTGTTATTATTATTATTATTATTATTATTATTATTATTATTATTATTATTATTATTATTATTTGAAACACAAGATAAGTCCACAGCAGACACTCTGCTGGCTGTTGTATTGGATCACATGTTGGACACTTCCCAAGTGTCTAGGACTGTGTGATGTATCGGCACGCATTATTTTTATTATTAGATATTTGTTTATTTATTATTAGATTGGGATGAGGATTTCCCTGCACTCTATCTTCCTATTATTATTATTATTATTATTATTATTATTATTATGAGGTATTTATTTATTAATAGATTGGGATGAGGACTTCCCTTGATGTCGACACTATCTTCCTATTATTATTATTTTACTGACACAAAAGCACAGTATGTCACAGTAAACGAGATCTATATGCTGGATTTTGTATCAAAAATCACAAGTTGAACACTTCCCAAGCGTCTATTATTATTATTATTATTATTATTATTATTATTATTATTATTAGATTGGGACAAGGACACCCCTCAATCTATGTGCTTCATCTTTCCATTATTATTATTGACACAAAAACACAGTATGTTACAGCAAACGAGATCTATATGCTGGATTTCGTATCAAAAAATCACAAGTCAAACACTTCCCAAGCATCTAGGACTGTGTGTTGTATTTTTGAATGATGCGCGCAGATCCAAGTAAGGTGGTCTTTTGCAGTTGACAGAACATGGTTTTGTCAATGTTTATTGTTTCCAAATGCCGGCTGTGATCTATTATTATTATTATTATTATTATTATTATTATTATTATTATGAGATTGGGATGAGGACTTCTCTCAATCTGGGTGCTTTATCTTTCCATTGTTGTTGTTGTTGTTGTTGTTGTTGTTGTTATTTGAAACACAACAAGATGAGTCCACAGCAGACAAGATCACTCTGATGGCTGTTGTATTGGATCACATGTTGGACACTTGCCAAGTGTCTAGGACTGTGTTATGTATCAGCAAATAATGCGTGCAGATTCCAGTAAGGTGGCCTTTTGCAGCTGGCAGATGGTCCTTTTGTCAGCGCCGATTGTGTTTAAGTGCAGACCAAGGTCTTTAGGCACTGCACCCAGTGTGTCGATCACCACTGGGACACTTCCAAGTGTCTCGGACTGTGATGTATCGGCAAATAATGCATGCAGATCCGATTATGGTGGCCTTTTTGCAGCTGACAGATGGTGATTTTGTCAGCGCTGATTGTGTTTAAGTGCAGGCCAAGGTCTTTAGGCCAGTGTGCCACTGGGACCATCTTGACTGGCTTGAGCCAGAGTCTTTGCAGTTCGATCCTTATTATTATTATAAGAAGAGGGAACTAGAGTGTGTGTGGCGTTTAGAGCGCAACAAGCCAGACCGAACACGACTGTGTGCCTATCTAAGAGCTTACGCTGCGGCAATCGACGCCACAAAAAAATCTCTCTTTGCGGCTAATATTGTGTCTGCAAGGAAGTGTCCAGCAGAGTTGTTTCAAGTAGTCAGAGTTGATAAATCCCATCTCACAAGATAAGATCCGCTCCGACCTGGACTCCATGTTAACAGCAGTCTCTGAGGATGTAAAACAAGGACCTGCTTGGCCGGTTGTGATGGATTCATTTCAGTTGGTACCGCTCGAGGATATGGACAAGATCCTTGGAGAAGCGAGACATACATCCTAGACCCATGCCTATCCTGGCTGATAAAGGAAGCCAGAGGGGGTTTGACAGGGTGGGTGAAGGTGGTGGTCAATGCATCCCTACAGGAAGGCAAGATTCCAGCCAACTTAAAAAAAGTTGTCATAAAACCACTGTTGAAAAAAAATCTATATGAAATAATAATAATAATAATAATAATAATAATAATAATAATAATAAATGCCATTGATGTAGACTAGGATTGCATTGGCCTTTTGTGCTGTGGCATTGCACTCTTGACTCGTGTTAAGCTTGTGGTCTACTAAGATCCCTTTGATATATAATAATATTACTATTCTCAGGCCATAGACTTCCTCGATCAGGACACTTCCCATTGATGTAGCCTAGGATTGCATTGGTCCTTTTCTGCTGCTGCATCACACTCTTGACTCACGTTCGGCTTGTGGTCTACTAAGATCCCTTTGATGATGATGATAATAATACTATTGTCAGACCATAGTCTCCATGACTTCCCGCGATCTGGACACTTCCCATTGTTGTAGCCTGGGATTGCATCGGCCTTTTGCACTGCTGCATTGCACCCTTGACTTGTGTTCAGCTTGTGGTCTACTAACATCCCTTTGATATATATTAATAATATATTACTATTGCCAGGCCATAGTCTCCATGACTTCCCTCGATTTGGACATTTCCCATTGATATAACCTTAGGATCGCATTGGCCTTTTGCGCTGCTGCATCGCACCTTTTACTCGTGTTCAGCTTGTGGTTTACTAAGATCCATTTGATATATAATAATGATATATTACCATTGTCAGGCCATAGACTTCCCTTGATCTGGACATTTCCCATTGATGTAGTCTAAGATTGCATTGGCCTTTTCTGCTGCTGCATCACGCTTCTTGACTCACCGTGGGCTCTATTAAGACTCTCTAGACCTCATTAAATGCCTGGGATCAACCTATCTTTGGCTGCTGGGTGTCTTGAGAGCCTCATTAGGTCTTGCTCTGTATCTCATATTATTATTATTATTATTATTATTATCATCATCATCATCATATTATTATGTAATTATTATTCCTATTATTATTATCTTATTATATTATAATTATTCCTATTATTAACTTATTATTTTAGTAATATTATTATTCCTACTATTATCTTATTATTAATTATATTATAATTATTATTCCTATTATTATTTTGCGCCTCCGAAAATCCTTTGCTTTGGAAGAGAAAAAGGCACAGAGTAATGCTTGTGGCGTCGTCCATGTGCCTCGGGAAGGCAAACGAAATACGATCTTGCCTTTTTTGCCGCAAGAAGGGACTCTTTCTGAGGACGGAAAAGCGGGCGAAGTTGGGGGAAGTTAGGAAAACATTTTCTGAAGGAAAACATTCCGGAGACAGAGACCCCTTTCAGGGCATCCTGCCTGCAGAAGCCAACACAAACTATGGGGCTGGCATCACACACTGGATCCCTTTGTGTGGCTTTTGGAAAGAGCCAAAAAGGCCAGCTTTGGGCCCAAAAGAGGGGGACGGAGGGGAAACAACACTGGCCCCCTTAGTTAGAATAGGGTCCTTGTGTTAGCATCCTAATACATTATGATCTTCGAAGGTCTCTAAGCTGAGGATGGGAGGCAGTCTAAATGGCCTTTGGGGATCCCTGGCCTTCAATGCTCTTCTGACTTGATGACCCTCGAGCAAAAACTATTATATGTTTTGCTAGTCAGTGTTGCTGTTGTTGCCTTCCTCTGAGGCTGAGAGTGTGTGACTCGGCCCAAGGCATCCCTTGGGTTTTGCGAGAAACCCACACAGCTCTGATCTCCAGAGCTGGAAAAGTCTTCTAGGGAAGCAAAGCCAAAGAAGAAGGGAAGGGAAGAATGGAAGCAAGTGTTGAAAAGCAATGGCAAGGTGAGCCTGGTCTCCTGCTGCCCTCTGCTGGCCCTTGCAAAATGACCACAATCCAAAAGCCTCAAGTTTCCTAGATTGCAGGAGAAGCAAAGCCACAGTCTGTAAGGCGCCTTCAAGGCAGCCACATTTATTTACTTATTGCAGGTGGGAACAGAGTGTGTGGTGAACTGCAACTCCCATCACTTCTTATAATGGTCAGGGTTTCTCTTTCGATTCCTTCCCTCCCTTCCATCCAGTCTTCCTTCTCATTGATCATCTGGCTTTCCATTCTCTTTCTTTTTCCTTCCTCTCTTCTCAGATTGTTTTCTTCCCTAAGTCCAATGATCCAACTTGTCCTTCCCCTCCATCCATGCATCCATGTATCTACCAACCTACCCACCCACCCATCCATCAATACATTTCACTATCTATTCACCTGTGTCTGTATCCTTCCATCTATCCATTTCACTTGTGTCTCTATCCGTCCATCCATCAACACATTTCTCTTCTCTAGCTATTCGCCTTCCTCTATTTATCGATCCATCTATCTATCCTTCTTTCCTTCTCCTCTATTTCTTCTTCCCATCTCCACCCTGTCTTTTTCCTCCCTCCTCCACCTTCTCTGTCCATCCTCCCTCCCTTTCATCCTTCCATCCATCCATTTTTCCTTGTTCCTTCTCCTACCTTTCTTTCCTTCCTTTCCTTCTTCCCATCTCCACCCTGTCTTTTTCGTCCTTCCTCCATCTTCTCCTCTGTCCATCCGTCCTTCCATCCATCTTTCCTTGTTCCTTCTCCTATCTTTCTTTCTTTCCTTCTTTCAATCTCCACCCTTTTTCCTCCCTCCTCCATCTTCCTTCTCCTCTGTCCGTATGTCCATCCATCTTTCCTTGTTCCTTCTATCTATCTTTCTTTCCTTCCTTTCCTTCTTTCCATCTCCACCATCTTTCTTTTCCCTCCCTCCCTCCGTTTATTATCCATCTTTCCTTCCTTCCCTTCTATCTATCTATCCCTCCCTATCTTCTCTTCTATCCTTTTTTCCATCTCCATCTTTCTTTTTCCACCCTCCCTCCATCTTCCTTCTCTGTCCGTCCTCCTTCCCTTCCTTCCATCCATCCATCCATCTTTCCTTGTTCCTTCTGCTATCTTTCTTTCATTCCTTTCCTTTCCATCTCCACCTCGTCTTTTTCCTCCATCTTCCTTCTCCTCTGTCCGTCCATCCTTCCATCCATTCACCCATCTTTCCTTGTTCCTTCTCCTATCTTCCTTTCTTTCTTTCTTTCTTTCTTTCCATCTCCACCACATTTCTTTTCCCTCCCTCCCTGTTTATTATCCATCCATCCTTCCTTCCCTGCTATCTATCCCTCCCTGCTATCTATCCCTCCCTATCTATCCTTCCTTTCCATCTCCATCATCTTTCTTTTTCCTCCATCCTCCATCTTCCTTCTCCTCTGATCGCCCTCCCTTTCTTCCGTCCTTCCTTCCATTCATTCCATCCTTGTTCCTTCTCCTATCTTTTCTTTCTTTCCTTTTTTCCATCTCCACCATCTTTCTTTTTTCCTCCCTCCCTCTTTTTATTATCCTTCCTTCCCTCCCTTCTATCTTTCTCTCCCTGTCATTTCCTCTATCTTTCCTTCTTTCATCTCCACCATCTTCTCCTATCTTCCTTGCATTCCTTTCCTTCTTTCCATGTCCATTTCTTTTTCCTCCCTCCATCTTCCTTCTACTATATCCTTCCTATCTTCCCATCTCTCTCTCTCTATTTCTCTCTATTCATGTTCCTTCTATCTATTTCTTTCCTTCTTTCCACCTCCACCATCTTTCTTTTCCCTCCCTCCCTCTGCTTATTATCCTTCCTTCCTTCATTCCGTCCTTCTTTCCTTCCTTCGCTTTTATCGATCTCTCTATCTTCTCCTATATCTTTCCTTCCTTCATCCTGTCTTTACTTTTCTTTTCTTTTCTTTTCACTCCTTCCTTTTCTTTCTTCCTTCCCTCTATCCTTCCTTCCCCTCTATCAATCTATCCTTATTCCTTCTCCTATCTTTCTTGCATTCCTTTCCTTCTTTCCATGTTCATTTCTTTTTCCTTCCTCCATCTTCCTTCTACTATATCCCTCCTTTCTTCCCATCTATCTATCTATCTCTCTGTTCTATCTAGGTATCTATCCTTGTTTCTTTTTTATTTCTTTTCTTCGTTCCATCTCCACCATCTTTCTTTTCCCTCCCTCTCTCTGTTTATTATCCACTCCTCCTTCCTTCCCTTCTGTCTATCCCTCCCTCTGTCATCTATCCTTCCTTCCAGGGAGGGCCGTGGAAGGCTACAGCTTGGTGTGCTGCTGCTGGGGCTCCCCTCTGCCCTCCTCTTTCTCCTCTTCTTCCTCTTCCTCTTCCTCTTTGCTTTCTTCCTCCTCCTTCTCTTCATTCTCTTCCTGCTCCTCCCAGTCGTGCTGGTGGATCATGGCAGGGGAGGGCAGGAGGATGGGCAGGGCCCCGGGCCCCCTCTGGTGCCAAGGGCCCAGGTCCAGCACGGGAAAGAGAGTGCCCTGGAAGCCCCCCCGGAAGGTGTAGAGCGGGACCAGCTCCTGGGGCCCCTGGGTGGCATCGAAGAAGGTCAGCTCGCCCTTCTCGTAGTGCAGGAAGAGGCCCAGGCGCCGGGGAGGTGGGCAGCAGGGCGGGAGGGCCACACGGGGCCCTGCAAAGGCTTCCAGGACCCTACCCTCTTTCAGACCCAGCAGCCAAGCTCCCTGCTGGGGGGTCTTGGGTAGTTTAGCTCGCAGCTGCTGCTGCGGGTGTCGGGGACCGAGGGCTGAGGCCTTGACCAGGCCCAACCGCCAGTGGCTGCGTGCCCCCACCACCACCTCCCAGTAGTGGCGCCCCCAGGAGAAGCCCCTGCTGGTCAGCACCCAGGCACCCGGCTCTGCCCGCTCTGGAAGGCTTCCCCGGCGCAAGGTGGGTGCCCGGCCCCAGCGTACCACCGTGCCGCCCTTTGACAGCTCCAGTGCCGGGTGTGCCGCCGACGAGGGGTCCAGCGTCAGTGCCTCCGGGGCTGTGGGAGGAAGGAAAGAAGGAGGACCTGGTCAGCAAGGGAGCACGGAAGGGGTGGACAAGAAGAGGAGGAGGAATAGTAGATCCTACCTGGGAGGATCTTACGTAGCAGCCGCTTCCACACCATCATCTGGACATCATCCTGGTGGAAGTCGGGCTTAAAGAACACCGGGGGAGAGGCACCCCCTTCGGCCGGACGCTGCTGGGTCAGTTCAGACCTAGAGACAGAGCGGAGGGACAGGGAGAGATGGAAGAGACCCAAGGGCCGGGCAGTCCGACCTACGGCTCTGCTGGGGGCACCACCTGACCCCTCCCGACAGATGGCCATCCAGGGAAGGAGACGCTAATGGACCCCCAGGGGCAAATCTGATCGGATATTGGGGAGATGATGGTGGTGATTATGGTAATAGGTCCCACAATAATACTAATAATAACAACAATAATAATAATAGGTCCCACTATAATAATACAGTAAAAAAATCATCATTGGTCCAATAATAATAATAATAATAATAATAATAATAATAATAATAATAATAGATCCCCCAATATTGCCACTACTAATAATAATAGGTCCCACTTTAATCATCAGCATCATTGGTCCCACAATAATAATAATAATAATAATAATGCCCCACAGCCATCATCATCATTGGTCCCATAATAATGATTATGATGATAATGATAATGATGTTCCACAACCATCATCATCAGTCCTATAATTAATAATAATAATAATAACAACAACAACAATAGGTCCCACTGTAATAATATGGTAAAAAAATCATCATTGGTCCAATAATAATAATAATAATAATAATAGGTCCCATAATAATTATAGATCCCACAATATTGCCACTAGAACTAATAATAATAATAAGTCCCACTTTAATCATCATTATCATTGGTCTCACAATAATAATAATAATAATAATAATAATAATAATAATAGGTCCCATAGTAATTATAGATCCCACAATATTGCCACTAGAAATAATAATAATAATAATAGGTCCCACTTTAATCATCATTATCATTGGTCTCACAGTAATAATAATAATAATAATAATAATAATAATAATAATAATACCCCACAACCATCATCATCATCATTGGTCCCATAATAATGATGATGATGATGTTCCACAACCATAATCATTATCAATCCCATAATAATAATAATAATAATAATAATAATAATAATAAGTTCAAGAGGAAGAGGAAGAGGTCCCACTGTCGGTGCCTCCAAAGAGCCTGGTGGAACTCAACTCACCTGGAGGGAAGGGAGCCATATTTCTGCAAAAGGAGACAAACAGAGGGTGGTGTGAGCCTGTGCCTCCACGCTTGAGCTTCCAAGGCCAAAGGGGGTCAAGGGTTGTGTGCGTCTGTGTGCGCACACGTGCACTCACCAACCTACCCGGATGAAGCCCAGCTGGCCCTGGTCGCTGAGGCCCCGCAGGTGTTCCTCCAGCGTCTTGAGCTCCTGCAGGGCCTCCTCGGCCTGCTTGAGCTGGGCCTCCAGGCCGGCCTCCAGACCCACCACCTGCCTCTCAATGCGCCCCAGGAAGCGGGCCTTCTCCTCGTCCACAAAGCGGTGCAGCTCCTGGAACTGCTTTCGGATCACCCACTTGAAGACGTCTGACTCGTTCTGCAAGGGAAGGCCAGGCAAAAGAAGGGGGTCACCCTAGTACAAGGACAGGCCCTCTCCTCTCAAGGGTCCATCATCATCATCATCATTATAAAACTTCATAATAATAAAACTTTATATACCTCTCCATCTCCCCGAGGTATTATTATTATTATTATTATTATTATTATTATTATACTAGCTTGGGTGCCTGGCTTATTTCAGAAAGTCAATTTTGTAATGGTACCAAATGCATAAGGTTGCGGGTGAACTACAACTCCCACCATGCCAAGTTAACCCTGAGAAACTCCCATCATCCTTGATATTGGGCAAGTTTCCTCAAGATGCATAGTCAGTGGGATTCAGTGTGCTCTCTGGCTGTAGGGTAAACTACAACTCCCACTATGGTGGGTCGGTCCCCTCAAACCCCTCCAGTAGTTTGAGTGAGTCATGGGGGTCCTGTGTGCCAAGTGTGGTCCAGGTCCATCATCAGTAGATGTCACTGTTTCTCTAGCTGTGGGTGAACTACAACTCCCAGACAGGAAAGTCAGTTCTCCCCAAACCTGTCCAGTAATAAAATTTCAGTATATCAGGTATTTGTGCCAAGTTTGGTCCAGGCCCATCGGTGTTTGGGTTCACAGTGCTGCCTGAATGTACGTGAACTACAACTCCCCAAATCAAGGTGATTTTTTTTCCCAAAGACCTCCAGTATTTTTTTTTTTTTTGCTGCATGTGAGGTGGGTCATGGGGGCTCTGTGTGCCAAGTTTGGTCAAATTCCTTCATTGGTGAAGTTCAGAGGACTCATTGATTGCAGGTGAACAATAAATCCCAGTACCCACAACCCCAAGGGCCATCCAGTCTGACCCCTTTCTGCCATAACAGAATATCACTACATCGTTACCCACTATTATCTATTATAATGACTGTTCTGAGACTCATAGAGTTGGAAGGGACCCCAAGGGATATCCAGTCCAACTCTATCCACCAGGCACAGTGACACAATCGAAGCCTTTCCAAGAGATGGCCACCCAGCTTCTATGCTATGTCCATGGAGCATTTTTCTCTGCTGGGGGCCCCATGGGTGGCACTCACCGTGATACGCGTCTTGTTGTTCATCAGCTTCCCGAGATGCTCCTCCAGGTCCCTCTGTTGCTGCTGGACCTCTGTCATGAGCGCTGACAGCTCCTCCTGCCAAGTTACAACCGTTTGGCGCCACATTAAAAGAGTGCAGTACGAACACTCCCAGGGTCACTGCCCATGGGGCACAGCTTGTTTCCAGGGAACGCAAAAAGGCCCTTCCTGGCTTTATCTCTTGCCCTTTCTGGTGGCTGGCACTCTCTGGCACAGTTTTGCTTATCCCTGTTGACCACCAATTGCCCTTGATCGCTGGGCTGGAGCTGCCCAACAAACAAACCTGATTTGCAGGTGAGGCCTCCCCTCGTGCAAAGGAGGAATAGAGAAGTCCTTCCTGATGCCATTTGTACCCATTCCTCCGTTAGTGTGTAATGGGATATATAACAGCACAATGACAGCGCTATAACACTGCAATATAATGGTAGTATAAGTGTGATATAATAGTGCTACAATTGTGTAATGTGATATCGCATTGCTGTAACACTACAATATAATGGCACTATAAGTGTGATATATAGTGCCATTATAATGTGTTATAGCGTTGCTGTAACACTACAATATAATGTCACTATTAGTGTGATATAATACTGCCTCAATAGTGTAATGTGATACAACATTGCTATAACACTACAATATAATGTCACTATTAGTGTGATATAATACTGCTACAATAGTGTAATGTGATACAACATTGCTATAACACTGCAATATAATGGCACTATAGTGTAATGTGATAGAACATTGCTATAACACTGCAATATAATGGCACTATAAGTGTGATATAATAGTGCTACAATAGTGTAATGTGATACAACATTGCCATGACACTGCAAAATAAGGGTGTTGTAAGTGTGATATAATGGTGTTATAATAGTGTAATGTGATATAACATTGCTATGACACTGCAAAATAAGGGTGTTGTAAGTGTGATATAATAGTGCTATAACAATGTAATGTGATATAACATTACCCTAAAATTATGATATAAGGGTGCTATGAGTGTGATATAATAGTGCTAAAATAGTGTAATGTGATATAACAATGCTATAACAGCATGACATAACAGTGCTACAACAGTGTAATCAGTGATATTACACTAAGAGCACTTATATCACATTACACTATTACAGCGCTATTACATCACACAGGACCATTATAGTACATTGTTATAGCATACTATTTTATCACACTGTTACAGCACTATTGTATCACATTACACTTGTAGCACTATATCACACTTATAGCACTGTTATAGCACACCATACTAGCATACTTTTGCAGCATTATTACATCACACTGTTACAGCACTATTATATCACACTGTTGTAGCACTATTATTTCACTTATAGCATCATTATAGCACACTATTATATCATGCTTTCACAGCACAGTTATATCACATTACCCTATTATAGCACTATTATTTCACACTTATAGCACATAGTGCACGGTTCTATCTTGCTTTTACAGCATAATTACACCACACTTTTACAGCACTATTATATCACATTACACTGCTGTAGCACTATTATTTCACACTTGTGGAACCATTATTAATGCACTGTTACAGCTCGGTTAAATCAGACTGTTACAGCAGTATAATATCACACTATTATATCATAGTACACTGTTGTAGCACAATTATATCACACTTACAGTACCGTTATAGTGCACTGTTATATCATACTCTTACAGCACTATTCTATCGCACTGTTATATCACATTACACAGTTGTAGCACTATTCTATAACAGTTAAAGCACTATTACAGCACTATTATAGCATAGTAACAGCACTATTATACCATATCCCAGGGTCTGCTAGTCAATACCGGGCGGTCTTTGCTGTGCCCAATAGCCCTCCTGTGCCCCTATTTGGCCATACTTGCCTTCATACGGCTGTAGACGGTGGACAGAGGGGTGACCTTGTGGTGCCGGTGGGCTCCGATGGTTCCACAGAGCCCACAGATGATGGCCTGGTCGCCCTCACAGAAGAGGCTGAGGGGGTTGCGGTGATCGGGGCAGGACTCTTCCTCCTCTTCCTCAGGCCCATCACCATCACCATCTTCACCTTGGGAGTCCCCTCCTCCTCCTGCACCACGCAGGGCCTCGATGACACGTGCCAGGCTGACATTTGGGGGAGAGCTAGCCCCGTCGGCACTCTGGCGGCAGACGGGGCAGAGGAACTGGGCCTCGGGACCCCCCGAGAGGGAGACCACGCAGGGCTTGCAGTAAGAGTGGCCGCAGCGCAGCATCAGCGGCTCCCGGAAGACCTCCAGGCAGATGGGGCACAGGAGCTGGTCCTCCAGCTGGTCCAGGCTCAGCTTGCGGGCCATCCAGGCAGGCGCCTTCCAAGGGGAAAAAGTGGCGGATCAATGCATGACAGATAAATAGAATCTGTGTATCTATCTCTTAGGGGTTGGTCCTTGGGTTGATAGATAGATACATGGATAGAGCAAACGCTAGACTTGGAAGGAACTCCAAGGGTCATCCAGTCCAACTCCTAAGAGAGAGATACATACATAGACAGTCCTACCCCTAAGAGAGAGAGAGAAATACATGGATAGATGGATGGAATGCTAGACTTGGAAGAGACTCCAAGGGTCATCCAGTCCAACCCCTAAGATATAGCTAGATAGATAGATATTTTGATACATACATAAATACATACATAGAATGCTAGACTTGGAAGGGACTCCAAGGGTCCCTAAGAGAGACAGACAGACATACATAGACAGTCCAACCTCTAAGACAGAGATGGATGGATAGATACATGGATGGATGGATGGATAGATAGATAGACAGATAGAATGCTAGACTTGGAAGGGACTCCAAGGGTCCCTAAGAGAGAGAGAGAGACATAGACAGTCCAACCCCTAAGACTGAGATGGATGGATCGATAGATACATAGATAGATACATGGATGGGTGGGTGGATGGATACATACATACATAGACCGGACGGACAGAAGGACGGAATGCCACTTAGAAGGGACTCCAAAGGTCATCCAGTCCAACCTCTAAGAGAGAGAGAGACATACATACATAGGTACCTAGACAGTCCAACCCCTAAGATAGATGGATGGATAGATGGACGGACGGACAGACACATAGATACATGGATGGATGGATGGACGGATGGACAGATAGAATGCTAGACTTGGAAGGTACTCCAAGGGTCCCTAAGAGAGAGAGATACATAGACAGATACATAGATAGGTACATAGTCCAACCCCTAAGAGAGAGAGATACATAGATAGACAAACAGACAGACTCCTCGACTTGGAAGGGGCTCCAAGGCACATTCAGTCCAACCCCTAAGCTAGATAGATAGGTAGGTAGGTAGGTAGGTAGGTAGGTAGGTAGATAGATGGAGTCCTAGACTTGGAAGAGACTCCAGCGGTCATCCAGTCTCACCCCTAAGAATAGATAATAGATGGATAGAATGAATCATATAGTTGGAAGGGACCCCAAGGGCCATCCAGTCCAACCCCTAAGAGAGGGAGAGAGAGATTCCTAGACCTGGAAAGGACCTGATGGATGGATTCATTCCAACCCCTTAAGAAATAGATGATAGATAGATAGATAGGATAGATTCATAGACTTTGAAGAAGCCCAAGGGCCATCCAGTTGAACCCCTATGTGATAGATAGAGGATCGATGGATCGATAGATAGAATCCTAGAGTTGGAAGGGACCTACCTCAAGGGTCATCCAGTCCAACACCACCAAAACCCTCCTAATAGTCTACCGTAGCATCTGATGAGAAGCCTATAACTGGAAGGAAATCATGGAGATGGAAGAGACCACTGAGCGTCATCAAATCCATCTCCATTCTGCCAGGCAAGAATACACCGTCTATTCCCTCCTGACAGAGGAAAGGAGACCCCACCACACATACTCCACTCTCAAGCAACTCATTCATCATCAGGAAGCTGTTCTGAAGATTTCAACGAGACCTCTTCCATGTCTTTCATTGCATCTCTCAATGGGGCCTCCTTCCAGGGATTGAGACATGGCTTCCCCTGGCCTGCTTCTCTCCAAGTGAAACCCACCCATCAGAGGGATGTGTGGCTTCCAAACCCAAAGAAGAGGAGGCAAGACTATCACTACCTTCCTTTCCTCCTTTCCTTCCTTCCACAGCAGCAGTAGAGCAAGGTCTTCTTTCTCTCTCCTTCAACGGTCACTTTACTTCTTCTCTTTTGGTCCAAAGCTCAAGAAATGCAGGCGAGGTGACCACCAAAGCTTTCCTCAAAGCGTGGCTGAAAACAAAGGCTGGTTTCCCCTTGACCCCAATGGCCAGGATGACCGTCCCATGGCGAGCCGGCACTCCCTGCTCTCCCAGCCAATCCTCCCTTGCCTCCTATGTAAACAAACACACCTTGCCCTTGAAGGCTCTCATTGAAAGGTGGACCTTCTTGCAAATGCCCCATTGGCTGGAGAAGGGACAACCAATGGGGGGCGGACCAGTGTTTCTCAACCTAATGCTATAACTCCTTAATACAGTTCCTCCTGTTGTGGTGATCCCCAATGATAACATTATTTTTGTTGCTACTTCACAAGTGTAATTGTGCTCCTGTTACGAATCATAATGTAAACATCCGATATGCAGGATGTATTTGCATTCACTGGACCAAATTGGGCACAAATACCCAATAATACAACCAAAATTGAATACTGGTGGCGTTGTGGAGAAGATTGATTTTGTCATGAGGGAGTTGTAGTTGCAGGGATTTATAGTTCACCTACAATCAAAGACCATTCTGAACCCCACCAATGATAGAATTTGGTCAAACTTGGCATACAGAACTCCCACAACCAACAGAGAATACTGGAAGGGTTTGGTGGGCCTTGACCTTGAGTTTTGGAGTTGGACTCAAACAATGATGGATCTAGACCAAACTTAGCACAGATACTCAATATGCCCAAATGTGAACACTGGTGGAGTTTGGGGAAAATAGACCTTGATATTTGGGAGTTGTTGTTGGGATGTATAGTTCACCTACAATCAAAGAGTATTCTGATCTCCACCAAGGATAGAATTGGGCCAAACTTCCCACACAGAACCCTCATGCCTTGAAGGAACCCGCTGGTGTGAACCTCCCTTCAGCCTCGCACGCTCTCCTCCACCTGCACTGCCATGCGCCGAGCACACCTGCTCTCCCCTCCCCATTTCGAGTCTCAGAAGCAGCCCTCCCCTTGGCTGAGAGGCGGGCCAATCACAGCAGAGGAGGGCTTTTGGTGGGAGGATTCGCCGTCTGTTTCCAAAGGGGTTCCGAAGACCATCAGAAATATGTGTTTTCTGAAGGTCTCTGGTGACCCCTCTGAAACACCCACAGGGATCCCGTGAGAAACACTGGCCTAGACTAAGGACTTTGGTGGTCAGTATCTCTGGCCTTCAGTGGCCATCAAGGGGCAAGACTCCACGACCTCTTCAAGCCAGGGTACAAATTATTATTATTATTATTATTATTATTATTATTATTATTATTGACCGAATGGCCAAGGAATAATAATAATAACAATAATAATAATATAATAATATTGACCAAATAGCCAAGGAATTATTATTATTATTATTATTATTATTATTATTATTCCCCAGCCAATCGGTCAATAATAATAATAATAATTATTATTATATTATTCCTTGGCGAGTTGGTCAAGCCAACTTCAGACAGAGTCAGACGCTTGACTCGGAGGTCAGAAAACCATACAGTCATACCAATGCAGGTTCAAATAACATATATTATTTTTTATTTACAGAAGTATAAATACAGAGTCTCTGTATAAATAAATAAATATTGACAGCCCCCGCTCCCTCCCTCGCCCCCCTTATTCTTGAATAAATAAGCTAACAAGTAAATATTAATTAATATAAACAACTGACATTTTTTAAAAAGCCAAAAAAAAGTACAAAAATTAAAAATTGGAGCGCTTCTGGATGGACCTTCTTGATGTAATGGTGACAAATGGAGGGGAGCTGGCCCTGGCTTCAATCACTTCCATGTCCTTGGCAGGTGGCAGTGATGGCCCGGTGGGGGAAATCTGCATCAGAACCCAGCTTCCTCACCTGTGATGTCTGCACTGAATGACATTGTATGACTGGGGTATGAGTGGGGCCTGAAGACACCTTCCTAAAAATATCGAAGCCTGGAAAAGGCTGATGAAGGAAAACTACAAAACGGATGATATGACCCACTAAGGCCTTTCCTCCCACACAGAGAGGCTRCTCTCACACTGAGAGCGCTCTCAGACTGAGGCGTGGCTAAGCAACAGGCACGCTTGCTTCTATCGCCATGCCTAAAATACCTCCCAGCTGAATGCRGTTCCTATTYATSTACTGAAATGGMTGATTTTGATCCGCTAGGTGGGCGGGGAGYTGGGCCAAAGATTTCGGCGGGCAAGATTTACTGCAGCTGAACTGGGGRTGAACCTGCYAAAGTGCYTRAATACTCTGTCTCACTGAAAACRRAAGGAAAAACCTGCCTSCTTCCTCCCTACCGTGCCTCCAACTCACCCATATCCACTTCCATCGKCTCTTCTTCTTCTGCCCAGTTGGCCTCTTCAGGCTTCCAAGTCCTATGAGGGAGGCAAGAGGAAGCTCTCCGTTGGGTTGGGGGCTGCAGGCTCTTCCGCTCCTCGACCCCACTATAGACCCCCGTCAAGGAGGCGAAGAGCAATGTAAACCATCCTGCTCTGCCTCCGGAGAGCGTTGTCAACTTCCGGCCTCCTCAAAGCAATCTGAACAGGGACAGAGAAAGGAAGCTCCCGCCTTACAAGCAGCACTTACAAGTTCAGAGAATTGTAGGGCTTGGAAGTGGACCACCGGTACCTCTGCATCCGCCTCTGGAAGGAGGAAAACAAAAGGAGGCCATTTGCACCCTCCCAAAGAAGCCCTTGACTCAATAGGCTCCTTCTGGTAAAAAGCCGGCTAGCATTGCGTTCACAATTACAACCATGGCTCCCAAAAAGGAGGTTTTGAAAAGCACTTGTTGGGCAAGTGGGATCACGTAAGAGGAGGTGGAGCTGGAGCTGGCCAGCAACAGAGCGGGGTTACAATGCTTGGTGTTAAATGCGGCACTTACAATCTCGGGGGCTCCACGAGATAGTGCGGGGCCAAGGGCCCGCTTCCTCCTCTGTTAAGAGCCCTTGATCACAGACTTCCTCCTTCCTTTGATTGCGGGCATCTCTCTGGAACTTCTTTTATGTTCACAAGGACTGTTGTCGAGCCAGGCGTGTTAAGAAGTGGGTTGGCCTTCGCCCGCCAGATAAGAAGCCAGGTCTCAATAGGCTCCTTCTAGTAAAAAGCCGGCATTCACAATTACAACCAAGACTCCCAAAA